TAACCTAACCTAACCTAACCTAACCTAACCTAACCTAACCTAACCTAACCTAACCTAACCCTAACCTAACCCCTAATGATTTGCCATATAAATCTAAATTTGGTATCATAGCAAGTTGGTTTGGAATGATTATCTCTTTCATCATTGCATTTGTTCAGGGTTTCGACGTTTTCGTTAGTGGGAAATGGGATGTTAGCACATTTATATCGAATTACATATCTCTTCTGATTTTCTTCGCTGCTTGGATCATATGGAAGGTTGTCAAAAGAAGTAAGCTAGTAACCTACAAAGAGATGGATTTCGTGACGGGAAGAGCAACTCAATTAAATCATATAGAGTTGAAAGAGAAGTACAGAATTGAGAACGAGGGGGTGTCGATTTGGAAGCGAATTTATAGATCTGTTTTTTAGAATTTTTGTAACTTTTACATGTATTGTTTTCATAGATCCTTGTTTTTGTTCATAGCCAACCACGAGTTTGACATATTGAACGTAACTGTTTGATTTCTTTCGGCCCAGATTTACAATACCCACCGACGATCACACCCGAGAAAGGCGAAAAGGCATCGTTAGCAACTATCGACGCAGCATCTGCTACTGTTTCCGCCCAACTACTGTCTGCGTGATGAGAATGTTCAGGCTGACGCCAAACACGCTCCTTTCCATCCCAAACTAGACCACCATCAGGATATATCATCTGCGGTTATTGTTAAAATTATCACATTATAGTTATAAACGTGCTCACAAGCTTTGGTTTGCGATTGAGTTCGTAGCTGCTTAAATGATCGACTATATCGCTGACCAGACGCCTTAAGTAGTGAGGTTTGGTACAATTTATACCAATTGCATCTACTTCTGCACTATTGCCTCCGAAAATTGTCTCTATGATGTCTTTAATCCCACTTGGACCTTCAGAAAGGATTTTCGAGCCAGGAAGTGAACCATCCGGGAACACGAGTGAAATATACAACGGTACACTACTTTTAACGTATGCCCTATACTCTTCTACAGCTGCTCGTATAGCTCTCACTTCTGAAAGTAACGGGACTGTCTCGAATAGCAAAATATCTACTTTTGCCTGCGTGTTTAATACTTTGAGACGACCCAAGTGGAATTGTTTGAGGTTTTCACTATAAAGGCTTCCTTGACTCAAACTGTAGTCAACACTATATTCTCCCGTGTATTCTGCACCATCTGCTGTTGCAACAGCGAAGGGACCAAGTGCATAAGCGAGTTGCTTTTGTGACGAATGATCTACTTCGTTGTGCGTATTTATAGCGTTGTTTGCTATCTGTACACCTTTCTGAACAGCACTTGACGTTGCTTCTTTAGTTTTGAATCCCTCCAATGAAACCTGATAAGTACATGTCTCTATGATCTAATATTGGTATTTAGATAATTGTTCAAGTTCAAAAGAGCCTCACATCTGCACCTGCTTCCAAGTAATCTCGGTGCATCTGCTCAACAAGATCTGGATTATCATTTAAGGCCGATGCACTCCATAACGACCCTGTGAGATCTAGATTGTAAGTCTCTAATTGCGTTGCACCTCCACCGTCCAATATCTCCAATTCAGGCATTAAATGTGATGAAGGAAAGGAATAACGTGATTTTAAAGGTCAATGATGGTATTGAAAGATTAAAATGATAATAGTAATCTCGATTTGTTTTTGTATTAAGCTATTAGAATAAGTATATGGTGATGGTTAATTACATTCATATGTTTATTTCATCATTTGCATGTAAGGTTAAGGCTACCTGTCTATCCTGAACGTAATGCAAAGTTTTTAAAATGAAAGAGTATGGTTTGTTTTATCCCTGATACTCGTATATAATTGAGCGGATAGATATTGCGTTTCACTTATTAGGTTTCACTCTGACATTATGAGTAGATTAGCATGCTAATCTATTCGCGAGATTACAATCTTATATCTATGTTTAAGAGACGTGTTCTGTGAATGTCTATATTAGTGAAGATTTATAGTGATCAACATTTAGTATTGCCAAACACTTTCAAAGCATCTAACTTGAGGTGATCGATTGTGAGTCTTTCGATATTTTGGTATCGAAGGCGCACAGATACACGACCATGTTGGAAAAAGACCATTAAAGCGAAGTGTATACGATTTTGGACAAATAAGTCGATTTGGGAGTTATCAATTACTGCTCTCAATTTGATTTTGTTATCATGTGGGATGTTAATAGGTGCTGGACCGAGCGAGAACCTTATATTGGTGAAGACCAACCAGAGGTAACTCAACTAATGTAGACAATGTGGTCAGCAAACTGAATACCAATCTCAATCGTGATCACACTATTCTCGCTTTCTGTCGTAGTACGCGATGCTGACTTTGACGATTTTGATACCTCTGTCTTTTGATAAAGGTGAAACATCGACCGGCACGTAGACGGCGCCATCTGTCGAGAAATTGGTTTTTCAGACTGTATCAGAGAGGAGACTTGAAAGGTAAACAGGTTTATGTCTCAATGTTAAAGTGGATACTAGTCAGTTAAATTGACTTGTATACGTGATAACTAGTGAACGAGAGCATCAAAAACAATCTCCACTACTCCGTCCGAAGAATACCAGTGAAGAGCCAATCGCTACCTCTTCCAATCCTTGTCTACGACTGTCAGGTACGTTGTTGGAAGTAACACAGCGTAATCATCGTAAACGAAGTGCATTTCTCTATTTGATTTATCAGTTGGTACGAGATTTACATAGGGCTCATCATTAAAGAGCTAATAACTGATCTATCACCTCGGACGACATGTGGCTTCACAGATGTCATTAAGACACGTTTCACTTCATCGATGTTAAACCTCTTTGTCAAGAACCGGGAAGATGTTTCAAAATCACCTCAAATTGGCGAAAATGATGAGGGAGATATGAATTTCGTTCGCGCACAACTATAACACAATCCAATCACACGTAGAGTACACCTTTGCTTTCTTGATATGGGTTGATTAATGACATACAAGGAATCCTATCTGGCCGATATACAGAAATAACAGCGCAAGAATCTTTGTCTTCACGCTGAACGTCACATATGCGTAATCCGATAACCAAAGAATATATAAAATGCTACGATAATAGATCACGCCAGTGATCCTGTCAAGGAGTCATAATCTAACCTGTCTGTTGGTTGGAACTTTCCAGAGAGTAAGCGGTATAATTCACTTAACTATAGTTTTCAATGAATCCGACTTTGGTGTCAAACCGAAACGAATATGTATTGGTCTCAAATATGTTCTATCTATATTATTACACAAGTCTAAACAGTGAATCTATTTATACATTTTCACATATAAGGTGATATTGTAACCTGAACACCCTTTCTTTAGTCAGAATATCCAAATAGACGTGTAAATGTCTTCTAATACATAGATATATTTACTTTTTTACTTATTTTACACAACATTTTACTTTGTTAAAACCGGAATATACCTAATATATTGTAAGTAATTATGACTTCTAACTACCAAACCCACCCCTTGTGATCGGCAAACGCTTTCGGAGGAGGCAGCACCATACCAGTCTCAGCCTCATACACGCTCCAGTGCGCTATAAGATCCTTCAATATTTCGGGTTCAGTCTTAGCAAGATTCGTAACTTCTCCTGTATCTTCCTTGAGATTATATAGCTCCCATTCCTCGCTTCCAGCTGGTGCAGGTACATATAAAGCCTTCCAATGACCTTTTCTGATGGCTTGTTGTCCAAATAGCTCCCATCCAGTGATTGTGTTCTCATTGTGAGGTGGTACTTCCGCATTGTGTAACCATTCACTCCAGGATTTTCCCCTAATTGGATATATTTGACGACCTGGGGTGGTTGGAAATTGGTATCAACATCGATCTAAGTAAGCTTACCTTGGAATTCCGTACCAGGGTGCTCAATACCGGCTAGGTCAAGGATAGTAGGTGCAAGATCCATAACTGTAGTGAATTCGTGTGATACTGCACCACCTTGTAAAGATGGATGTCCTTGGGGATAATTCAATATAAATGGAACACGAATACCGCCCTCGTATGTGAATGCCTTGTAGAGTTGACTTGGAGCAGTTGCTGCTTGCGCCCATTCAGGACCATACCAAACATAACTGTTACCATTGCCAATATTCTCGAACGAATTGTCGAAAGCCTTTTCAATAGATTCTTGTATACGTTCGCCTAGAATAGGAAGAGCTACTCAAGTTGGTTAAATAATCGAAGATATATATCATGCTTAGCCTACCTTCCAAGAGGGAACCCTCTGCACCATTATCGCTCATGAAAACTACGAACGTATTTTCAAGTTCCTCTTTATCTTCTAGATGTTTTAATAAACGGCCAACATTTTCATCAATAGACTCAACCATGGCCGCATATACTTCCATTGTTCGGGCTGACCTCTTCTTTTCGTCCTCAGTGAATCTATCCCAAGTTCCTTTTCCATAGGTGTCGATAATCGGGTGAGCTCTTGCGATTGCGTTATCACTGATGAGTCCAAGCTTATGTAATTGTAACAGACGCTCCTTCCTAAGCTCATGTGGTCCTTCATCAAAACGTCCTTTGTATTTTTCTATAAGGTGCCTCGGTGCTTGTAAGGGCCAGTGAGGAGCTGTCAAAGTGAGCATAGCGAAGAAAGGACGCTCATAATCCTCATCTAAGTACTCAATAAGCTTGTCCGTGAAAGCATCGGTGCTATAGAAGGAATCTGGTAAATCATCCATACTGAAAAGATTCCCATTATCAGACCAGAGAGTTTTGGTAGCAGGTACGCCGAGCGCGACATCAGGATTATACTTGAAATGGTTGCCTGCACCGGGAAGTAGACCCCATGAGCGCTCGAAACCACGGTTTGATGGTAGGAAAGGCTCAGTGAGGCCTAGATGCCATTTACCACTTAATAACGTCCTGTATACACCTTTTCCTGTCTGTGGATCCGGCTGATTAAGTATTTCAGGTAGGGCAGCGACACGATAGTTGAGAACACCTTCGTAACCAGGTTTCGCAGTACCTTCTTCATCTTTCCATATTGATGGATAGTTTCTAGCAAATTCTGCCATCTGACCAAGACCTTATTTACACTTTAATTTGTTTAGCTCTATAACGAACATAACGCACCTGCTAAATGATTGTCATTTCCACTTAATAACATAGACCTTGTTGGCGAGCAAGCAGACGCTGTATGGAAATCTGTAAGTGTGAGGCCATTCTTCGCCAGCTTATCTAGATTGGGCGTGTTGATATCATTGCCAAATGGGTCAGAAAAACCAAGGTCGTCTGCGATAATAAGTAGGAAATTAGGCTTTTTACTTGGTGGCATTGGTCAAGTTAATGATAAAGTAATGCAGGTAATTCACTACTTATTGGACCACTTTTGCGTGATTTTCAAGGTACCAGAATCATCGTTATATACTATGCGGCTTAGTTATTGCGCATACATTAAATTATTGTCTAATCTTTAATTGTAATTTGTGTTATCTCGTTGACCGCATGAGAGTGTGACAGATAGATGACGAGACACAATTTGCTTAGTAAATAAAGCGTAAATAATATGTATAAGTTGCATCGTATGTCAATTTATGCCTTTTTGCCTTAATTTTTATAAGTCATCCATATCCTTTCACTTATGGTTGTCTTCAGAATAAAACAATATGTTTGGTTGAACGTAGTATTTTCAAACATCTTCAAGTCAGGAACTAGATAGTTTTAAAATCTTTCAAACGAAGTACGAAAACGTATTTGAACCATTGAGGTTATACAGGTTGGTTGATGTATAGCTATGCAAATGATGTGCCTTAACGATTGGTAACTTCTTCGCTTTGTTACGAATATATAGTCTGATAAACAAGATATTTATTAAAATACATTGGCTGGTGTACCTCGCATGCCAAACTTGGGAGACAGACAACATCCTACGAGCTGAACGAAATTTGAGAAGGAGGACGTGCTTGTTGATGGCATAGACTATTTAGCTGGTATATAATAATACGTACCTAATATCACCTACATTTATCTATCGGATAACTTTATATTGCTTGTCGTGTGAGTTGGCAGTGATCTATCAGATAGTTGGTAATTTAATAAATAAATAATAAATAAATAATGAAAAACATTCTACATAGCTATATATAAACCCCCTATCGTTCTTATCAATCAAATATCTTTATCAGTGAACCGAATTTCAGATTTCCTTCCTCCTCAAGCTATCACCACCAGCTGGCATTCAATGTTCTTGGTTTACAACAGTGCAGACTGCTCAGCGAAAATTCCTTCAACAAATTACAGTCAGGCTTTGAATTTATTTTCATCTTCACTGCAATCTCTTTACGAGGAAGAGGACAGCGGTCTCATAGAACAGCACTCAGATCTGAAGCACTCCCCGAATATCATTTTAAATCCAAAGAAATACAAAAAATTATCTTTTAACAAAAAATTACAACAGCTTCTTTGTGAAGACCTCACCGTTGACGGTTGGGTTGACAAGGACATAGATCCATCCGATATTAAGATCAAGCGTATAACAGGCGCCCTCACAAATTCTGTTTTCTTTGTTAGCTACGATGGTGCACCAACTGTTCTTTTACGTGTCTATGGCCCGTCGTCCACTTTACTTATATCGCGCCCTCGAGAAATGCACATCTTGAACACTCTATCTAGACATTACAATTTGGGCCCAAAGATTTATGGTACATTTGCGAATGGTAGAGTAGAAGAATGGTTCAGTAGTCGCCCATGTTCTAAGGATGATATACGCTCGGACCTCAAAATAGACATTGCGAAGCGTATGAGAGAACTTCATCAGGTGGATTTGAAGAAAATGAACGTAGTTGGTCCAGTCGCACCTGGTTACAATGAACGCTCGACTAGTTATGGTGTTTGGGATAATATATCGTCTTGGCTTACACCAGCTTCAGTCGTTTTGAAGAGACTTTCAAGGGTTAAATTTCCAGAGAGTCATAATTATTATAATCTTGTTGAATCCATCAACTTACCCCTTCTTATTCAAGAATTTAACGCATATGAAGACTTTTTAAGAGAATACGAGGAAATAAATGGTGCTTCGCCTTTAGTATTCTGTCACAATGATACTCAACCCGGAAATATACTATTATTAGATCGCAGACCAGTAGACAAGCCTAGCCATCATAAAATTTGTGTTATTGATTTCGAATATGCTGCACCAAATGCACGCGGATATGATATTGCCAATCACTTTACGGAGTGGAGGTAAGTACACATCACATAGTCATTTAATTTTAATCAAACCCATCAGATACGATTATCACCACGAAACACTCTCCTGGAAACCCCTCTTGAGCTACCCATCTGAGGAAGATAGACGTGGGTTCTACGATGCCTATGTAGTTGACTCCGAAAAACAACAACCCGGATGGTTTGAACGTTTGGAGATGGAACGCAAAACGTGGTCACCTGCTAGTCTAGCTATGTGGGGTATTTGGGCAATTGTACAATCGAGAGATCAAGTGAAAGCAATGGGTAGTAAATTCGGCACAACCGTATCTAGCTTACATACATCAACGGGTGCTGATATGGCTGTAAATCTCGAAGAGAGAACTTCTGCTGTCGTACTCGATGACAGCTCAAGCGATGAAGAAGCCCCTGCACAAGAAGGTGGTGATGACTTTGAATATCTTCTTTATGCAAAGGCCAAGATTGATGCCTTTAGAGAGGAGTATTATAACCTTAAAGAGGAATGTCCACTAAAGAGGCCTTCAAATTAGATTTTTTCATATACACATACTACCCTCATTTGTACTATTTATATCAATTTAATATACCTAATACACAAATGTTGTTCACAATATAACAAATAAATCACTAAATACAATAATCTAATTTACTTTCATTTTACCTACCCTAGTGAAGAATTTACATAAACTTTCTCTAACTTCTGAACCCATATCTTTCGTTAGTATATCAGTAATTGGTTTATATACTGTTGATAAATATTTTTCAAAGTCCTCGTCTTCAAAGAAACAAACGCCTGAAATAATTTCTGCAACGACTGGTGTCCAAGCTGCGATATTTCTATGTTTAGTTTCAAAGTCAAGTTCATTGAAACCGTCAATTACGCTCAATCCGAATGGAATAAGAGCTTCTGATATGTCTTCACGACGGTCAACGTGCTGTTGACGGGTATCTTTGTACATTTTAATAAGTAGTGTGATGAGCGTTGATGCGCTGCTGCTTTCCTGTTTCAGGAGGTTTGGAAGTTGCTTCATGAATCCTACCTTCCACAATCCCATTCTAAGATCTTGATTATTATTGAATGCATTAGCAAATCTGTAACTTTCGTCAAGAAGATGAACGAATCTTAGAAGTTGTTGTGGTGGTATGGCAAGGTAGACTTTATCATTAAACAGTAACTCCCTGACTGCATCAATGAGTAACAATTGCAGTACACATTTGGTGATGATTTGCTTAAATAGTGTGCGTCTTTCATTTGATCTCAAGACTGTACCCTCTTCAATAGTAGTAGAAGTAAGTGGAAGTGGTAGTACAAATCCACTTTGACTTGGATCAGCAGGCGTTTGTTCAGCTGAATCCAAATCTTGTCTCAGTGATTCATTGAAGAGTTCACTAGCGAGTGTGTTTTGGAAGAGCGTAGTAAATACTGAAGTTAAAGTTTCCCAGCGTTCGTCACTAATTTTTTCTGCGTTGCTTTCAATCAAAGATTGTAAACAAGATGATCCAATACGAGCGAGTGTGTCGTTTTCTAAATACATTAGTATAATATATAAAAATTGAAGCTAACTACCAACCTTGACAAATACATGCTCTCAATAACTCCAATAGACCTTCTAATTTACTCTCCAATATTTCGAAATAGTGACTGTAAAGGTCAACCAAATTACGTAAAGCCTGTACCATGGTTGTGGACAACCACACTGTCATGTCCTCATGAGTGTTAAATCTAGATAAGTCGACCGGCGACTTTAATACGGAGAATATAGGGAATAAGACCTTTTGACAAACTGTATCCCAGAAGTCGACACGGAATGAAGAGCCGTGTATTTTCAATGTTGCAAAGAGTGAATCGAGGGCAATATTCCTAACTTCAAGATCTTCCCCATTCATTATGATATCATAAAAGCTGAATAAGATAGGGAACCAGAAGCGAACCATTGGATCATCAACTGGAGGTTGTTGTTGATTGTCTTGCGACTGTACAACACCAACTTCACCTCTACTGAGTGGACATTCTGGCGCAACCAACATTGAATTAATTGATGAGCGAAGTAACTCCATTGCTTGTAAGCTCACTCTCTGGTAAGGAACTTTACAGAAGTCCGTAATACAAACAGCGAGATCACTGAAAGATCCATATTTAATTAAATATCCAAGATGCTCCTTTTCGATACTGTTTACTATATCGAAAGCATGCGAAACAATCCTCTCGTTAGATGACTTGGCTGCTGCTGAGAATACAGCAAAGAGGGTTCTCCATCCTGAGCGTATATTCACAGAGCGTGCCTGGAGCATCTGTTGAAGACAACGAAGAACCTATTGAAAAGTCAAGGTAATTTCAACGTACAAACCATTACTCACAATGTCCTTAGCATCAAGGTTTGGATTATGAATCATAGTATGCTCGAATGGTTTCAAGAAGTCCTTTTGGAATTTGAAATGCGCAAGTTCCTCCTTCTCGAGGAAGCGCATAGCAAGTTGTCTCAACGCATCAATGGCGAAAAAACTAACTGATGGGTTTGGATGACAACAGACCTATCAAAGTATGAACAAGGAACGTCTCTTCGAAAAATATCACCAACCTTATTAAAGTGATCACCCAAAATGAGCCAGATCTTGCTCCATTCTAAACGAATACGATTCATGTTATAGTAGCAAATATCCACCAGTTTCTGCAAACTAAACAAACGTGGATGTTGTTGTTTTCCAGACTGTTGAATCTCAGCCCAGGAAACCTCTGCAAGTGCTTGTGAAAAGTCGACCATAGCATCCTAAAAGTTGTGTTAGATCGTTCATCACAGAATAGAAAACACCAACTCCTGTTAACATCTGAGTTGCTGAAAATACCATATCGCCTCTACCTGTTACTTGTAAAGCTCTACCATCCGCAGCAATAGATTCATCAGGTACCAAATGGCGAGGGACAGTTGACGACTTTCTAGTTGTGCTACCAGATCTTTGTCTACCACCAATATTACCAGTCTCAGAACTCAAATCAACACCATTACTAATCAAATGGAAACGTTCAAGTTGACTGACGCATCCAAGGATTTCTTTCCAACTGCCTTTAAGGTAATTACCCTCATGCATCGCGACTTCAAGAATTACCTTGACAGCATCAACATGCTTAGGTTTCATCTCTGCAAGGTTATTAAGGTGCGTAAACTTAGCCAACATTGTGACGAATGCGTTACGCTCTAATTCTAAATCAAATAAACAGGATATCTTGATAGCATTTGCAAATCCTTGTAAGCAAAGTAAAACAATCTCATTATCATCACTTTCTTGTAATGGTCCGGACATTGCCGATAATATAGCCATCCAGGCGACTTCGAACATTGGCTTTACGTGTTCATAATGTGATGCACTAAAGTAAGTTTCACTGTTCTTCATACCACTTCTACGTTGAGCCCGAAGCATTGATTTAAACAGTGCTTCAGTCTTATTCGCCATACCTTCAGAGCGGATGTTATTTTGTTGTTTTTGGTAGTTTCTATCTGCCCCACTAAGTACATTGACAATGTTGCTGTTTGGTGGTGGTGGTGCATTTTGGAGATACATTTCATCTTTCATTCTAATTTCGTCTGAATGAATATCATCGTAAACTCCGATCAAGTAATCTTCTGGTAAGTCACTACCATCGTTAATACCTCTGTTATTCTTGATAAATTCCTCTTTAGTCATTCTACGCTTGTTTTGAGGGTTGTAAGCATCTGTGTTGAGAAGAATAACTGAATATGCCATAACATAAGCAGTATCAGCATTTGCAAACAGTGTTGATGGATTGTGTTGAACATATCTTTCAGCAAACTTGAGCATATATCTATCAATTTTTTGACTTTCACCCGGTAATCTAAATGCCTGTAAAAATGCTCTTAATGCTGTAACAAATGACATCTCATTGAAGTTCATCGCATCAACGAATGCATGCATGATGGCAATATTTTCTTCTTCACCTTCACCAAGGTACTCACCAATTTGAGCTTTATTGAGACCATCAGTAGTTAACAAAAAGCGTGCAATGTCTTTAGGTTCACTTGATTTAATAAAACCATGTTCGAGTAAGAAAGCAACACCTCTCTTTGGCTTATAATTGAACCTCTTGATACCCTCAATAAGGATGTTCTTACGGGCCTTTGCACTCTCAAATTGTGTTGGGTCGTCTGAGTTAACATTTGAGAAATCAAAGGCATTTGATATTTCTGGTGTTGAATGACCACTTGAATATTCAGCAACACCAACGACTGGAGAACCTTAATTAATTAGATAAATTTATGTTAATAAACTAACACACACCTTCAACTGATTGGTGATTTTCTTCGGCAACAGTAGCAACTGGGAGAGCACCACGTTCAGCCCAAGAAACCAAACTAGCAAGTACGCTTCTAATTAGATCTAGTGCTTGTCTCTTTACGGCGACATCAAGAATATGTGCTTGTACGGCTGCTTGATTTGAGAACGTAGCTGCTAATAGGTTGGCATCAGGTGCTGGCATAAGTGAATCAGTGTTGAGACTTGGCGGTAATTCATTCTTTGATGGTCTGAAGAAGCTGGTCAACGCTTCAGTTGTACTTGTGCCACTAGCCTCTTTTGGTCCTGGTGGTAAATGAGCTGAAGCGATCTTTGACAATGCATTCATCAAATGTTCGTAAATATTCTCAAGGCTGTTTTTATCGCAGTCGTAATTGAGATACAACTCAACGATAGCTTGAGGATTTTGACAGAGCTTCTTTAGGATGGTCGAGCAGAGAATAGTCTTTTGCTTATTCGAGGAATTCTCTTTGAGTTCCAAAATTGGTAGAAAGATTTCTCTGAGGATGACTTCAATTTCACGTTTCATTCTCATACGCATGCTTTCCAATACTCTTGAGAATATTTGACAGCATAATTCGAAAAGTTGAGGAATTGCACTTGGTGCATTTCTAGACAAACTCAGACAGAGGTATTGTTTGACGGCATCGAAAAGTTGCGTTGGCTCATTATTTGAAGAGCTATGAAGGATAATTCTCTTATCCAAGAGAACGCTAATATGAGTGTTGAGAATTGTCTTGATGAGATGCAAACTGAGCAGTCTCGATCTGAACTCCGGTGAATGGATTTCTTTTTCACTCGAAAGATGTTAGTGGTAGGGAACTATCATAAAGTAATACTAACCTATCTTTATGAAGTGATTTCATATTGAGTTTGCACAACGCTCTAAAGACCAAAAAGGCATCTTTCGTGAGTAACTCCTCATCGGAGATTTCTTCATCTGGTGCATTGAGTGGATCTGTTGATTGATTGGCTGGTGTTGCATCAAATGATCTTCTTCCTTCGAATGTACTAAGAGTCATCTGCTCAGTCTCTGTTGGTAATGATGGTTTACCATCTTCGTCAACTTCCTGTTCAGCTAATTCATCATCTAAACTCTCGTGTGTATCTTCATGTGTAACTTCCTCTTCTAAACTCTTACTGTGTTCATCTTGAATAGATAGAGTAGGTTCTGCCATCGCTTGTGTATTGATTGATGGTGTTCCGCGGGTTGAAGAAGATTGTGAATGTGCAGGATAGGCAGTTCTCAAGCGTGAAAATACGGCGTTTACCATCTGGGTTAAACCTGCTTGTGCGATCATCTGATTACCTTGGTCTTTACTATATTTGAAGATATCATGTACTGTCCTTATTGCAGAGAGGAGTGTAGAGTGGTGAATGAGACCAGTAGGATTGTTATACAGAACAATAGCTAGGAGAGCTTTGACGATCTGCAGAATGATTTGATCATCGAGTGAGCTGTTATTTGAGTAACAATCGCAGACGGTCATGGTTATCTTGTCAGCTAGACTGGATTTAGAATTATTCTGTCCCTGTAAATCCACGTTCCTGAATAAGCTACTGCCAACTAATTTGGAGATTGCGTCTACCGATGTAGCGAGGGTAGATTTATGGTAACAACCTAATCTCAAAGGTTCAAAGATCGTTAATAAATCAGGTTCTTCACTCGCTATACTATCTTTCGCTTTATTTATAGCATCATTAAGCGGGGACTTCTTGCCATCTCTGGTATTAGCGAGAGTATCAAGAGATGAGCTCAATAGCATGGTGGAGGGATTAACACCCAAGCTAGTAAGGGAGGTATTTGATTGATGAGCTAACTTCTGAGCTGGTGGTGGTGAGCTTGCGGCTGGTGAGCTTCTAGGATCATCTATAGAAGTAGATTCTAGATTATTATTATCAATTTGAGGGTTATCTCTATTAATTTCTAGCCTATCTCGTTTATCTTCCACTTCCGTCCCGTTCATCGATTTCGCTGTAGAAGATGAAGAGCGCAATCGACAACAGTTCAAAGACGACCATCATGAGTTCAGAGGAGAGACAAAAGAAATTACAAGAATTGAGACAGCGTATGGTTAGTTTACTTAGCTTCATTTTAATTATCTTCTAATAACTTTATAGCAAAAATCAACTTCAGATAACAGAGCAGCTATTAATGAGGAGCATAACACATCGAGAAACCAAATCAGAGTGGCGCAGAAACAAGAAAAGAGAGATAAACTCGCTGATGCGATACAAGAGAAGAAACGTGCTTTAGAAGGTGGTGAAGATGTAGAGAGATCAAAGAATATGGAGTACTCTATAGAGGATAACGAGCGATGGGAGAAGAAGCTAAAAGATAAGGCAAGGCAATCTAACGCTGAGTTTGATGGTGCGTTTATAGTGTATAGTCTAATACTAATCTGACTGATCTTCATCAGACGCAGAGCAAGTCACCCACCGTCGCTACAGAAGAGACCTCAGTTATATGAAACCTAACATAGCTAATTACAACAGACAAAAGGAACAAGCATTAGGTTTGCCAGCTGGTACACTCACAGAAGAACTCGCGAATCCAGATATGTCCTCTACGTTGGATCTACATAGAGGAGCTGATAGTTTGATATACGCTGATCATAAGCCAACGGAGGAAGATTTAGACAGATTAACGAACAAACTCAACGATGACGTACAACGTCGTAAGAACTTCTCAAGAAAGAGACCAGAGAAGGAGGAGGACAAGACCTATATCAATGATCGCAATAAAGTCTTTAACAATAAGATAAACAGGTACTTCAACCAATATACTAAGTATGTTTTTTCACACTTACTCTCTGACAATAACTAACTATTCAACTACAGAGAAATACGTGAATCTTTCGAAAGAGGTACAGCTTTGTAATTTATTTTGTAATTTTAAACCTTCATTTTATACAGCGATGACTTCCGTAGATAAGGCAGTAGAAGCAGCGAAAGAGAGAGCACATTTGTTAGTGAATAATAAATATATTAGACCCTTATAACCTTATATTAGTCAGTCTATCCTCAACGTATTCGATGTGTACGAAATGGCTGCTCTCGGACAGATAAAGAATAAGCTCGGCGTATATCATAGTCTACCTGACGAGCAGAAAGAAATCTTAAAGAGTATCGGTTTTAAAGATCGCTTATCTAAAATAGAAAACGCTATCAGAGCAAACGCTACGGTAGTCACCGCTATTAGAAGTGAGGGTGACGGCTTATTGGAGGATATGGAACAAGAAGAGCAAGCTAGAGGTTTGTTATCCTTTAGAATATCATCTTATCTGATCAATACATTAAGAAATGGAGAAGCTGGCTATGTCCACTGGCCAACATGCCTGCACTCATTCACGTAAGAAAGCAGCTTTATTATTACTTAAAATTGACAACAATAAAGACGATCATGGAAATGGTCATTCACATGACCACGCTGGTCATTCTCACTCCCATCCACCTACACCTTCCATACAGGCAGAAAAACCAACACCTGCTCAGATGGATAAGCTCCTCTCAACTTTGAAGCAATTTGTTCGTGATTGGTCGTCTGAAGTGAGATCTCTTTTCCATTACAATTTCCAATCTAATAAACTCTAAGGGTGAAAAAGAGAGAAACACATCGTACGGTCCTATTTTAGAAACATTAGAGGAAAAATATAGTGGTCTCACAAAGGAACAGAGGTGTGTTGATTGAAGTTACTTTGTATGCATTCTAACAATGTAGATTGAACACAAAAATACTTGTTCCAGGTGCCGGTTTAGCTAGATTAGCATTTGATATAGCTAGAATAGGTTTCTCTAGTCAAGGTGGGTTGATTCGCTTTTGATGCTCCCTTTTTTATCCCTCTTAAGGTAATGAGTTCAGCTATTTTATGCTTTTATCCAGTTTCTTTATCTTGAATCGTACAACTGAACGCAACCAGCATACAATATTTCCATTCGCACATACATCGTCAAATCACCCGGAGGAAACTTCACAATTGCGGTCTATAACTGTACCTGATGTGTTACCACTTGACTACCTCCGTGGTCCTGACAGTGACTTTTCATTAGTTGCGGGTGAGTTCTTGGAAATCTATGGTGGTGATGATGAGAAGGAGCAATGGGATGCTGTCGTTACCTGTTTTTACCTGGATACGGTTGGTCGTTAGTCCTTACCCCTTTTAATACTCACGAACGCTCAAGGCAAAGAATATAATTGATTATATCAAGACCATTTCTCATGTCCTTAAACCAGGTGGACAATTCATCAACTTGGGTAAGGTTTCCCCTCGACTGCAGAGAGCTTAATTAATCTTAAGTAGGCCCGTTATTGTACCACTTCGAAAACAATGACGACGGTGAGGTGTCAATCGAACTCACATTAGAAGAACTCAAAAAGCTGTTACCACAATGCGGCTTCAAATTAGATGTAAGGATAAATTTAGAAAGCACATGATGGGAATTTAAATGCTTTATAGAACGAAAAGATGATTGACACAACATACACCAACAACGGTGATAGTATGTTACAGTACACCTACAAAGCATGCTTCTGGTATGTTAGACCTTGTGAGAATAGGAATTTACTCACACTTATTCAGGACAGCAACAAAATTATAGGTTAATTATTTGTATTGCAACAGTTATAAAAACAAGAATAATCGTTAAAATCGTTAAATCGAATTAGTTGGCAAAAGAGTCACGAATGGATGTGCTATAAACATGAATTATCATTCCTTTATTTAGTGAGATTACCTACCCATCATAATGTTGACTGATGTCATCAAGTAAAGACAAACCAGTTGGTTTCCATCCAAGCTCGGCTTTTATCCTCTCGCTAGAAGTTGGCTTAAAGGTAGCACCAATAGGGGCTAAGAATGTTATATACTGAGCAGCATCCTCCACAGACTTCAACTCAGCCTCAGCATTAGTTTTCTTGGCAATTGCCTCAGCTATATCCTTGAATGGGATGTTTCCTTCTGCTACTGCATGATAAATGCCTGATTTACCCTTTAAGCCAGCTTCAAACGCCAAACGATATGCTTTTGCAGCATCGCTAACGTGTACTGCAGACCAATGAGATGGTTCCACATAAACTGCCTTCTTGTTTTTAATTGCACTGTTTATTAAAATTCTTATGAAACCTTTATCAAGCTGCCCTGCATGAACTGTTGGTGGTAGTCTCATTGAAATTGTAGTAACCCCATTTTTTGACAACTCCAAAGCTGTATTTTCACCTTTCCTAGGGAATGCAGGCTTTTGAATATCAGATTCAGCAGAAACACCATCATCACTCTTGATATCTAATCCGCCAACTGTGCTACTAACAATAAATGGTTTGTTTGTTCCCTCTAGTGGTTCACCGAGTGCCTTGATAGCCAGTACGTCCAATTCTGATACTTGTGTGTACTCATCAAAATTATGAACGAATGCCAGATGTATAACACCATCAATTGATGGATCTCCTGCTGCTTGTTTAAGGGTCTCGAAATCTGTGAGACCACCTCTGATAACCTTTACGCCTTTACTTTCCAACTTACGAGCACTCTCGTCTGATCTTGCTAATGCAGTGATTTTGTGACCATGATTAATCAGTTCGTCTACAGTTGCAGAACCGACTAAGCCTGTCGCACCAGTGATAAAGATATGTGGCATTTTATTTGATGTTTGTAAGTTTATTTGGAAGAAAATAACTACGGTGCGACACAATTTATACCATATCATGCATAATTATTACATAATACTTACTAACGTAGATCCGTGTGGAGGCAAACAATCGACACAAAAACTAAAATCAAATGAGTAACAAAATAGCAATTAATTCATTTCAATAAAAAACCAACCAACTCTTGATATCCAAGTAAATGGACATTCGAATGACATTGGAATGAACATAAATAAATGGTAATAAATCAAACATCACGATTGCTATGTATAATTGTAACTGCTGTGATACATCTTAGCTACCTCTGTGTTCCGGAGAGTGAATTTTCATTAATTGCGAGTATATCCTTAGAAAACTATAGTAGTGATCACAAGAAGGAACAATGCGAAGCTGGTCCTTACGTGTTTTACTTAGATAGGGTGCGTTGCAGTCTATACCTCTTATAATATTCACGAACACTCAAGGCAAAAAAGTCAATGACTATATCAAGACAATCTCTCACGTCTTTGAACCAGGTGGACAATTCACCAACTTGAGCGAGGTTCCCCTCGATTTTAAAGTGCTTAATTAATGATAAATAGGAGCATTATTGTATCACTTCGAAAATAATGATGACGCCGAAGTGTCAATAGAACCCATATTAGAAGAAATCAAAAGCCGTGTTACTGGAATGTAATCAAAGTTACGTGTGAGGAGGTTACAAGGAGCGCATAATCAGACTCTGAATAGTCCTAAAACGAGAAAATCAATTAAACGACATACATTACCAACAAAAACTGTATGTTACAGCACCTACACAATTTTAGTACCTCAAGTATAGCTACTTACTCACACCCATCCAGGACAGCAACAAAGTCATAGGTTAATTATTTGTATTACAACAGTTATAAAAACAAGAATAATCGTTAAAATCATTAATCAAATTAATTAGCGAAAGAGTCACGAATGGACGTGCTATAAATATGAGTTATTATTCCTTTATTTAGTGAGATTACCTACCCATCATAATGTTGATTGATATCATCAAGTAAAGACAAACCAGTTGGTTGCCACCCAAGTTCGGCTTTTGTCTTTTCACTTGAGGTTGGCTTAAACAAAAGACCGAAATGGGCTAAGAATGTTATATACTGAGCAGCATCCTCCACAGACTTCAACTCAGCCTCAGCATTAGTTTTCTTGGCAATTGCCTCAGCTATATCCTTGAATGGGATGTTTCCTTCTGCTACTGCATGATAAATGCCTGATTTACCCTTTAAGCCAGCTTCAAACGCCAAACGATATGCTTTTGCAGCATCGCTAACGTGTACTGCAGACCAATGGGATGGTTCCACATAAACTACTTTCTTGTTTTTAATTGCACTGTTTATTAAAATTCTTATGAAACCTTTATCGTGTTGTCCGGCGTGGACTGTTGGTGGCAGTCTGATTGATATTGCGGTAACCCCCTTGCTAGACAACTCCAAAGCTGTTTTCTCACTTTTTCTCGGGAAGGCAGGATTTGGAAGATCCGATTCTGTAGCAACACCATCATCACTTTCGATGTCTAGTCCACCGACTGCGCTACTAACAATGAATGGTTTGTTAGTTCCCTCTAATGGTTCACCAAGTGCCTTGATAGCCAGTACGTCCAATTCTGATGCTTGTGTGTACTCATCAAAATTATGAACGAATGCCAGATGTATAACACCATCAATTGATGGATCTCCTGCTGCTTGTTTAAGAGTCTCGAAATCTGTGAGACCACCTCTGATAACCTTTACGCCTTTACTTTCCAACTTACGAGCACTCTCGTCTGATCTTGCTAATGCAGTGATTTTGTGACCATGATTAATCAGTTCGTCTACAGTTGCAGAACCGACTAAGCCTGTCGCACCAGTGATAAAGATATGTGGCATTTTATTTGATTGTTTGTACGTTTGTTTGGAAGAAAGATAAGTACAGTGCGACGCAATTTATATCACATCATACACAATGATTACATAATGTTTACATAATATTAATCTGTGTGGAGACAAACAACGGACCCCGATAACTAAATGCAGGCATCTAACAAATTAGGAATGAACCCCTCTTACCCAAGTATAGGGGGTCATTGGATGACTAATGAACATATATGAAAAATATCGCAATCAACGAATGTCTTAAATTTCAAAGATCTTGGTAATATCTTCTAGGACAATCTTCAATCAATTATTATGTCATAATTTATTCCGGTGTCCGAATGATAGTATAAGTAATCTCATTTAGTCCTTTTAGAAATCATAATGTCAGCATCACAAGTTTTCTACATCACTGGTGAGTACTCCAGAGCAGCCGAATAGACATCCTAATTCGCATTTATAGGTACATCAAGTGGCTTTGGTCGTGAGCTCGCTTTAATCCTCTCGCAACGTGGACACAAAGTTATAGCAACAGCTAGAACGATCAGCAAGATAGAAGATCTTGGAAAGGTCGATAACATTAAGATACAACAACTAGATGTCACAGATTCATTTGATATCCTTCAAAAGAAAGTAGAAGAAGCCATCTCATTTTTTGGTACCGTTGACGTTCTCGTAAATAATGCAGGATATTCACAAACTGGTTAGTTAAACATTTCTTTTTGTGCATTTTTCACAACAGATTTAAGGTTGTTTCGAAGAACTTACAGATGGAGAAATTAGAAAGCAATACGATACGAATGTCTTTGGAACTGTAAATCTCACTAGAGTATTTCTACCATATTTCAGATCAACAGAGAAAGAAAGCATCATTTGCACGATAACTTCTGCTGGTGGTTTAGTAAGTTTCCCAACATCTGCTGCATACACATCTACGAAATTTGCTTTAGAGGGATTCTTTGAAGGTTTAGATGGTGAATTAAAAGCAAGTAATTTACCAATTAGGGTACTTATAATCGAACCTGGCGGTTATAAAACGAATTTCATTGGGAATATTATCAAATCCGAGAATCAAATTGATGTATACAATCCTATAAAAGAACAAATTCATCAATTATTTACAGAATATGATACAACTACTGGTGGTAATGCCTTAATAGGTTCAAAGTTAATCGCAGATGCTTTACTGAAACAAGGATTCGCAGCTGGCAAAGACATTCCATTAAGGTTACCAATTGGAAGCGATTGTATCAACTGGTCAGTTGAAAAATTCAAGAAAACAGTTGATATATTTGAAGAATGGAGACCATTTGCAGCTGAATCAGATCCAAAGAACTAGTTTCCATGCAGTTTCAACTCAAGCTATGGTTTTATTCCTCTCTATTACTCTGAAAAATGAGTGTATTTATTGATCGCTATTATAGTATTTCTGAATTGAATATATATATATATATATTTGTTTATTCTTTTATTTGTTCTTTTCCGCAAATGTATCACTGATTATTATTTTACTCCGCATTTACAAAAAAAACTTGATGTCGTACGTTTTAGCACACGTATCTGAGGCCCAACCTATTTTTTAGAAAGAATATCTATAGACTAGACAAACAAATAGTGAACAAAATAAAAATCATAACATTTGTTCAAATACAAAAATAGACCAATGTTGAAATGAAACGGATTTCAAAAAATAAATAGCAAAATTTTAGCTTCGCCCGGTTTCGATCCGGGGATCTTTGGGTTATGAGCCCAACGCCATTCCTCTTGGCCACGAAGCTGAGAACAGCTGTACCATTTCTGGTTGAAGTCAACAGCAACAACAAGCATATATATAGCAACCATCTACATCTCGGAAAATTTTCCTCCATCAACCGCACTAGTGTTTTTTCCGTAAATTTGCACTTTACAATATTATTATGTATATCCGAATGCTGTCACGCTATTCATAAACAAATATAAGTGAATCGCATCTACATGACTACTCCAAAACTTCTCCTAAAATTTGCGCAATGGTAGAAAAGTAACCACATAAAAATTGTCTGAAAACATTATACGCGTTGAGCTTATCACCAAGGTCAGGTCTCTGGTTATGGAACTTCACACTTCTTTATGCCTCATCAATTAAACAAAAGCTGGAATAATACACATCTATATGATTCAAATTCTTTCAAATTTATACAAACCGTCTCCGATAAAGTGAAGAGTATCAATACCGATACCCTTGTTGACCTTCTTGATTTCTTCTGTTGATGTTTTGCATATACCGATGGCAACTGGGTGATCCTTTCCTTCCGCGAAGATAGCAACTACCGTATTTGCAGGGTAGGATTGTTCTGTTGGTGGCAATTTACCACCTTTCGAGGTCAGACCGGGTGACATGACGTTTGCACCAGCGATGAGGAATCTAATAGCACCTCTGTCGACGGTTACTGGTGGGAGTAAGTGGGGGTCTACGCAAATGTTAGGGTCAAATAATCTCGCAGTTTAGTCCTCAAACTCACACAAATGAAGAAGTCTTAAAGTTGGTACGTATGGATCATCGTGAGATTGGAAAAAGAGTGGGAAGCCATTAAAAGAGAGTAATTGGAGTTGATTATGACATTTTATGAGTGAAATTGATTCCTTCTTAGGCCAGATTTGCTCAAGTAAAGCGCCATCATTTTCCCTTAAAGCTTCAAATTGATCGAGTAGCTTTTGTCTGATAGCTCTTTGTACAGATGATTTTATCGCTGTTGAATTGCCAATTTGTGTTTTGTCAAACTTGGCGAACATTATGGACTCTAACTTTGACCGTCAAGGAGGAAGAATGCAATGAACAAATTATTTAAAATCAAAGACAAGACTTACACTCCTTATACACCATCTAAAATGCAATATCAACCTCCACCTACACTTATAGACAACGCTCATATTGGAGAATCACCGAGCACATTACCACCAATTCACAAATACCACAAACGATCCGACAGTCTAAGGAATCAAGTCCATGAGGGAGACGTACCTGTAATACCGTCCGTGAGACTAGACACCCTAAAACTACGCCGTCGATCTGCATCCGCGCCCCAACCGTCACCAATCTTCGAATCAGCCTTTGAAGAGCAGCAGGACGTTTCAGATGTACTCCAGCAGTCCCGTGTACTGGAAAAAGAAAGGCAATACTGGAACAGGATCGGAAATAGACCGTTAGCCAGATCTTCGAACAACATTAGCAGACACTTTTCAAATATACAACCACTCAATAAGCATAACAGAAGTACTAGTCATGGTAATAGTCAATCATCACACAAGCGTATTACTTCGACTTCTTCTAATAAGTCTTCTCTCGGTCGCTCTCAAAGTTTAAGTGTTCCGACGAAACCACTGGAAATACATCTCGCACGTAGCAATAGCAAGCACCTGCCAGGATGTGGGAGATTTATACGCAAAGCCTGGTCATTTAATAAAGAGAATATCCACCCACAAGATGTTCACCTACGTGTCGAAAGTGATAGAGGGAATTTGCACATTCGAAACCAGGGTAGAGACAACATCAATATACTCAGCGAAGAAGATAAGATACGTATAGAGAGTGCTAATGGTCAACATTGGGGTCAAGTACTTGAACCATCTCCTTCGACTAGTCAGGTAGGATTGGCTTTAACTAGCCCTTCGCCTGCACCACCAGAAAGCAGTCTACCTGTACACTCGCAATCGGTGGCACCACCTTCACCAGCGCCTGTACGTAAAGCTAGAAGCGTTGCGACTTACACAGAAGATTTAATACCTCCCTCGCAACGTCGCATAATTATACCACAGCGTAACAGCTCAAAGAGGTTTTCACATTTCTCTCACCAACAGTCGCCTTCAAAATCTATGATAATTGGGAATGACTACATCAAGAGCAACTTGAGAAGAAGGAGTACGAGTAATTCATCTGCGAAGAGTATGTCTGCTAGTAGCAGGAGCATGACTTATGATTATTATCTTTCTTTGCATCGGGATGATGCAAGTCACAACATGGGTAATCTTGTTGCTGAAAGAAATGATTCTAGTTTGGGTAATGCCAGTGTTGACCACACAGGTAGCATTGCAAACCACAGTATCGCATCTGATATGGCAACCATTGATCACCAGCCACCACCACTACATGCATCGACATCTTTATTAGCAAGAGGGCAGAATAGCAATAATGAAAGCACGAGTAGCGTAATTGAAGAATTGCGGGATGCACCTATTCCACCAGAACGGCAAGACGATTTACAAACGCCCAAAGCGAGACAACCACCTCCAATGCGTGTTGAAGTAGAGCACATTACTCACGAAGACCTAAAAACTCCGAAGAAGGGTAAAAGGTAGGAAATATTCTTAATAAAGCGCATCCCTAACTTTATCTCCTCAGCAAAGAGCCTCCTTCATTGACAATTACATTACCACCACGTGACTCTTTCCAGGAAGCTCTTCAAAGTCCACTTAAGGAACCACCACAGGCTCCTAAAAATGAGAAACATTTCAAACAGGATATTGATAATTTCTTATATATCCGTGATCCATCACCTGCCCCACCAAAAATACCGCTCAAGTCACCCAGAAGAAAATCACCAAATCCATCAGTTCAATCATCACCAAATTTCTCGACTTTAGGTTTAACGATTGGCAATAATAATAATAATTATAATAATAAAGCTGAACCTGTACAGAGAGTTGCAAATGCTGCACAAGCTATCGCTTTAAGTGGACGTAGTACACCAGATTTGTCGATACCAGTAGTCAATAAAACTAGTAGCGATAGCAGAACAACCAATAGAAGCAGGAGTAATAGTGCTATGAAACCATCTGCAACTTATATTCAACCATCTAGTATAGGTGTGGAAAGTAAACCACTATTGGTTCTAGACGTTGAAACTGTTAAAACAAAATTACGAACAGCCAAAGAAGCTAGAGCGTTGAAAGATGAGAGCGACAAAAAAGAAGAAGAAGCAAAGCAGGTCGCGAGAATTGCAGCATTTAGAAGAAGTAGAGTGGATAGAAATGGAACAACCTCATCACAACGTTCACATCCATTCGCAAATGTCACTCAACCAAATGAATCAAAAACACTAAATACGGTTTGTGATTCTCTATCAAAACGATTGAGCTCAGATGCATACCTTAATAACTTACGCTTATCCAATCAGCAAGTACCTCGACTTAAGAAAGTATCTGAAAATGATATCAACAAAGAAGGTAACGAATTATTCTATAAGCCACGTCCAACTCATTTGAATAACACTCCAATTCCACCACCGACGCCTGAAGTTAGGAAAAGATCCCAAATGAGACCATCACTTAGTAGTAATGGAAGTAATATATCTGGTATATCATCACAGTCAGGAAAAGAATTAAAGCCAAAGCCAAGCTTACAAGAACTAGAAGAAATGCTACGTAATTTAAAACTACGCAGAGCCAGAATTTTAGCAGAACGTGAGAATGAACAGCAACTAGGTGTGTTAAAGAGTCCTCTTGAGGAGATTGACTAACGTAAAAATGCAGCAACCCAAAATCAATGGTTCGACGACGAAGAAGGAGTCGTAGATACCCACCAAAATAATTTACTATTAAATCTTACAGCCACAGCAACCCACTAATTGAATTTGCCCGGGATGGGCAAATTTGATGACGTAACTGCGAACATACCAAACACTTAGAAATGCAAACACTCTTTATTCATTCTTAGGTATTTTTGCATTAATTAATAAATTACACTCTTTTAATTTCAAATAAATGTACCTAAATAACTTTCATAACGTCATTCGACAAAAGGGAGCGCTTGTCAGTCATGTTTCAAGGTTAATCTAAATTTACACGTGACGGGCTAATGATATTTAAAGGTAAAATATCGGGCCTATATTTTAGTGTGAGAGGGGTTATTTTCCCTGGAAAATTCCTGCTCCACTCTTAGGGAGTAATTAGCAAAACAATCAGTCAGTGCAGCTGCAGCAATAGGTCACATTACACATTGTAGATAATTTTAATTACCGAAAACTCCTTATTACCTACTACAACGATATACCATATTAACAAAAAAATGGGATTTCTAGACATCTTAAACATAATTTTAGGAGGTTATGATGGCTACGCAAGAAAATTAAAGGGAAAAAAACTTGAATATAGTGTTGTTATCTGTGCAGGTGTAGCATTTTTGCGTTAGTGCTATCAGTCTCATTGCATCTAAAATACTAACGTTACAACAAGTTTTCGGGTATGATCAAGGTGTCATGAGTGGAATCATAACAGAACCATATTTTATCAAAACCTTTCCACATTTTGGATCAGATCCTGATTTGAATCCCAAGCAAGCAGTAAGTTCTATGGTTGTCGCAATTTATGAAATTGGATGTCTTCTTGGTTCGATTATGGTTATTTTCTTTGGTGATGTATTAGGCAGACGTCGATGTGTAGTAATCGGAACCATTATTATGATTATCGGAGCAATCGTACAAACATGTAGTTATCAATTACGTGATTTGATAGCAGGTAGAATCGTTACAGGTATCGGAAATGGTATGAACACTTCGACAATCCCGGTCCTTCAATCTGAGATGGCCCACAAGAGTAGAAGAGGCTTTTTGGTATTGTTCGAAGGTGCTCTTATTGCTGGTGGGATTGCTATCTCCTATTTAGTTAACCTAGGAATGTGGTATATGAATATGACTGATGAAGAAGTTCCTCATGCAAGCGCACAATGGTACGTAAACATCTTCTATATGAATTATACTTAACACTATTTCGAGGCGTTTCCCATTCGCTTTACAATTGGTTTTTGCAATAGCGATGTTATTGGGTGTTGCCGTATTGCCAGAATCACCGCGTTGGCTTGCAAAGCATAACATGGACGACGAATCAATGCACATTTTGTGTAGACTTAGAAATGGAACAAGGGATGATGCTCATGTTATTCAAGAATTCAGTGAGATCAAAGAAGTCGTCTATGCTCAAGAAGCTGGCGGCAAATTTTCATTCTGGGAACTCTTTAGAAATGATGAAAACATGACATTCTGGAGAACATCAGTCGCTTTCCTCAGTCAGGCATTCCAACAAATCGGCGGTATCAACTTGGTCACTTACTACAGTACAACACTCTTTCTTAGTATTGGATTGGACGATACTAAAGCCAGAATTGTCACCGCTGGTAATGGTGTTGAATACTTCCTATCTGGGGTCGCTGCCTTATTTGTTATTGACAGAATGGGTAGAATACCGTTGATGATAACTGGAAGCTGCATCATGATTGCTTCATTAGTGATGCTTGTTGGTTTCCAATCATCAGGTCGTAGTGACTTGGCTGTAGGTAGTGCTGTAATGTTATTTGTCTTCAACACTGGTTTTGCCTTAGGCTGGCTTGGTGTCACCTGGCTTTATCCCGCGGAAATTTCTACATTAAGATCACGTCACGCTGTAAATGGTCTTTCTACATGTGCAAATTGGCTTTTCAACTACCTCATCGTTCAAATTGCACCAATTTGTCTCGATACGATCAAGTATAGGACTTATATCATTTTCATCGCAACCAATACATTCTTCATTCCAGTTATATGGCTTTTCTTCCCAGAAACAAAAGGACATAGTTTAGAGGAAATGGATAGAATCTTCGTTATGGCTCATAAGCAACATCGTAATCCTGTCTTCGTCGAAAGAGAATATACTAAACAAATTGGAAGTTACGGACAAGGTCTTGGAGATCAGGAGAAGACGAAAGTTGCACACGTTGAACGATTTGATGATCTCAACGGACATGACTCAGATTCTGATAAACAACATTTCACAAGGTAGATCAACTGATAAAAAAAATAATTTGTATTATATAATAAATAACTGTATTTACAATTTATTTATGCTGTCATAGTTTCATACATTAATTAAGCTGTAAATTCAGGGCAAGGGTAGTGACACATCATCATTCTGGTAAGAATGAGAAACGAGATCACGTGATGAAGAGCATGATTATAGTATGCACTAATAGCAGATCTTAGTGTACCCTACCAGTAATGCATATAGTACCTCGGAAATACCCACTACAACGCCAAGATGATTGACAACGATTGTCTGCCAAGAATATACACCCTTAACAAAGAGGAAACGCGGAGCTAAAAGGCCATAAAAAGACATAAATTTGGGATATGTCGTGGCTGTCCATGTGTTCATTCTTGATAATTTCTCGATCGTTCCTATCAATATTTGATCTCAGAAATCTCGCTAATTAGCAAAAAAAGAGCGAGTTCCGCATGTAAGAGAAGTTGAAATAAGGTGTTTATTTAGATTTATACAGTCTATAGATGTAGTTCCAGACATGGTATAGTCACTCCGCTTTAGATTAGCACTCTCGATGTCATTCGAAGGTGTCAGCTGAACAGGAATCAGATATTGGCAGGTACTTTGCATAGACTTACACTTATCGATCTGTTAAGCGAGTAAAACCCATTAAAAGCGAAATGATATAATCATTATCGTCGCTCCGCCAGTCATGCCATGTGACACTTACCGTGCTCTGCCGAACAGTTTAAATATAGCTAATTATATCTCCTTCTTTAACAACCAACAATTGATAACAAAATGGCAGCTAATAAACAACAATTTCTTAGTATGTGGGGAACACTTGGCAGGTCCCACACTAACCAATCATAGCGCTTCCAAATGAGTTACACTCACTTTCAGACGCTGGATTTGAAGTTGACCGTATACACGTCAAAGTGAGTGTAGATTTACACTATTACAAGAACTTTCTAAATCGTTTATAGCGTAATTCTGCTGTCGCACAGCTCTATGAAGACGCGGTTATGAAGGAAGGCGCTGTTATTTCATCAAATGGCGCACTTATCAACTTTGTACGTCGCAAGCTGTGATTTCTATCATTCAACTAACTCACCTTACAGTCTGGTAAAAAGACGGGTCGTAGTCCACGCGATAAGCGTATCGTCTTTGAAGAAACTTCTATGGATGATATATGGTGGGGCCCAGTAAATATCAGAATGCCTGAGCATGTTTTCGAAATTAATCGTGAACGGTGAGTACTTTTAAGTTCACACGTTCATTTTCTGACGTCATAATTAGAGCTATCGATTACCTTAACACACGTGAAGATGTCTACGTAGTTGATGCTTTCGCTGGTTGGGATCCAAAGTACAGAATTAAAGTTAGAGTCATTTGCGCTAGAGCTTACCATGCTTTATTCATGCAAAATATGTTAATCAGACCCACGAAAGAGGAATTAGATAACTGGGGCGAGCCAGATTTCACTATCTACAACGCAGGTCAATTCCCAGCAAATAGATTCACAGCTGGTATGACATCAGCCACATCAGTTGAGATCAACTTCAAGCGTATGGAAATGGTCATTCTTGGTACAGAATACGCAGGTGAAATGAAGAAAGGTATTTTCTCTGTTATGCACTATCTTCAACCGGTCAAATTTGGTCAGTTGTCACTTCATTCATCAGCCAACGAAGGTGAGAAAGGCGACGTTACACTTTTCTTCGGTTTGAGTGGTACTGGTAAAACCACATTATCAGCTGATCCACATCGTAAACTCATCGGTGATGATGAACACGTCTGGGCTGATAACGGTGTTTTCAACATCGAAGGAGGTTGTTATGCAAAGACGATCGGTTTATCAAAGGAGAAGGAACCAGAAATCTATAACGCTATCAAATTTGGATCAGTTTTAGAGAATGTCGTTTACGATAGCCGTACTCGTGAACCTAATTACGAAGATGTTATGATCACAGAGAACACAAGATGCGCATATCCAATTGAATTTATTGAAAATGCAAAGATTCCATGTCTATCAAGAAATCAACCTTCAAATATCATCATGTTGACGTGTGATGCTTACGGTGTTTTACCACCCGTCAGCAAATTGACTGAGGAGCAAGCTCAATATCATTTCATTGCCGGTTACACTTCAAAGACACCTGGTACTGAGGATGGCGTTTTGGAACCTTCACCTACATTCTCAACTTGCTATGGTCAACCATTCATTGTCTTGCATCCAGGTAGATATGCTAAGATGTTGGCAGAAAGAATGAAGAAAGCAAACACCAACTGTTGGTTAATTAACACCGGATGGGTTGGTGGTAAATTTGGTGTTGGAAAGAGATGTCCATTGAAGTACACACGCGCTATCATTAACGCCATTCACGATGGTAGCTTATCAAAGAGTAACTTTGAAACATTCCCAGTATTCAACTTGCAAATCCCAACATCTTTGAAGGATGTACCACCAGAATTACTCAATCCATCCAAGGCATGGTCTGATAAGGCTGCACTTGACAATGAAATCAAGAAGCTTGGAGGTCTTTTCAAGGAGGCTTTCTCAAAATACGAACAGGGATTATCTGAAGCTGTCATTAACGCTGGACCACATGTTTAGATCCGTTAAGCGATTTTTGTCTATTGATATCAATTCAAACAGCTGGATTTCCTTATTAACTAACTTGATGAAATTATTAAATACAAACATTTGTTACGTACACAAATAAATATTAGCATGATTATTTTTCTACATATTGTCTACCTGCTTGATCTGCAATTCTAATCGGTTCTGGAACGCGATGTTTTGCTGTAGATAGAGTCATAGCTATAGCGTAGTACAGTGTACATTTATGTCCTGCTGAGATATATATTGGATTATTTGCTTTCTCGCCTGTGAGAAGTGCCTATGGTGGTTTGTTGAAAGACTTTATTATTTTATAATAGACTTACAGCACCAACATACTCTTTGCCGTATATGTTAAACAGTCCTAACCATTCACCCCGTCGTTTCAGCTTACCTTTTATTGTACTTCGGAAAGATTTCGCATCGGATCTCCAGTTATTTAGTGAAGTGAGTGGATAATAGTTTTTCGATGCTCCTATCGTAGCAATATCTAGTTCAACCCCTATTTGTGTTGCTAAACCTGCTTCTCGATCATGAAGTCTACCATTACCGTCAACTATGTAAACTTGAGGTATATCATCTACTTCTAGTGTATTTATAAAGTTGTAAAACGTTTCACGAATTGGTTTAGATTCTCTCATTGCCAAATATGAAGGTATATATGGCTCCATGATTGTGTGTACCTCGTTATAGGTATATATTACTTCTAGTGAAGGGTATGAAAGTACTGTTATTGTAACTACACATTTGCCTTCTCCTGGCGATACATCTATACCGCCAATCCGTGTAGCTTTAACTTTATAATCTCTTACATAATTAATTGAAGCATTTTCTAAATCATTCTCATAGTTATCAGACTTATCTACAGTGATATCATAATCACTTGGATAACTAACAAAATCTGCTTTATTTCTTAAATCATTTTGATAATTATTCCAACAATCAACGATTGTCATCATCGTAAAGAAAAAAAAGTCAAATAAACTAATACAATATGAATTAAACTCTGTCAAAATGCCTACTTGGTTCAGATTCTGGTATTGAATCAGGTAAATTACCATCGTTCTTTGATCTTAAAGCATCTTCTATCCATTTCAACACGTCTGGTTGATTTGTTTGGTTGAGGAAAGGATGTTCAAGTAATTCTTGATAACCAGGACGTTGATTTGGATCTTTACGTAATGTGCTATGTATAAATTCCTTTGCAGTATCTGAATAGTATGATGGTAATTCAGGAGCAGGTCCTTTAACAATCTCTTGTAATTGGGCAAGTACATTTTGGAATGTATAAGGGTATTCTCCTCGTGCACATTCTACCATTGTAAGACCTAAACTCCAGACATCCGAACTGACACTATAGAATCCACCGTGAACGCCACTTTCAGGTGATTGAATTCTTTCTGGCTGGAAAAGGGAGTTAGAGGTATCTCTGAAGTTACGAGAAATACGTACAGCCATATATGATTGACAACCAATATTTGTTTTTGCTAATGACTTCTCTAATTGTCCTGATACACCAAAATCACATATCTTTATTTTACCACGTCTATTTACTAGTACATTTGTAGGTTTGACATCTATTAGACACTTGAGTTGGAAAAAATCATTTGTTTAATAAAACACTCACCTCTGTGTATTATTTGTAACTCTTCTTTCAAAAATTGTAAACCGATGATCAGATCCCTTGTGACGAATGCAAGAATATCCTCAGGTATACCAAATGTAGGTGAATAAAGTTTGTCTAATGAGCCAGCATCCATAAACTCCATGCAATAGAAGATACAACCTTCAACAAAGAATGCACCATAAAATTCAACGATTTGAGGTTTGACAGCTCTATGAAGAATGTCTAACTCCATCGCTATACCCGCTAATTTAGTTTTGTCCAACTCCAATCTAATCTCTTTGATAGCCATAACAACGCCGGTTGATTTATGTTTAGCTTTACGGACGCTACCGTATGCACCTCTACCAAGTTCATCTTGTAATTCCAAATCCTCGATCTTTATATTAAAAGAATGACCAGTCGAGAAGTTAACACCAGAAGCGTGTAAGATAGCCTTGCCTTCACCGAAGTTTAGTTTACCTGAAGGATCTACGATACTTGAGAAATTTGAAAATGGGGTATCAGCTTTTCCATCCTGATTACTTAAGTTTAATTTACCAGGTGGACCACGTCTTTTAGCTGGACTTGCGTCGTTAGATGATTGTGGGCCATTAATGTTCAACTTCATACCCCTTCTCGCAGCTAGACTATTTGGTGGTGGGTTATTATTCTCCTCTACTTTTACCTTGTCATTCATCGATAGTGCCTCCATTTTATCCTTCAACTGATTCGGTGGTAAAGGTGCTTGACGCATACTCCTTAAACTGCTACCAATTGGCTGACCACCTGCGTTAGCTTGACCATTAGATCCTCTATTAACCATAGCAGCCATTTTTGCCGCTAGACTACTCGGTAAACGTGGTGTACTAGGTGACGCACTTCCATGTATACTTTTCTTTCTAGTGGCTGCTGTACTCGTCGAAGGAGAGGATGACTGACTAGCTCTATTGCTATCTTGTTCTCCTTCCTCTTCTGAAGAGGATTCTAAATTTTGTAAATCTTCTGCAGACATTTTTGTGAAGTGCTGGTTGTACGCTTTATCCAAATCGTTGGCTCGAAAGAATGAGGTTTATTTCATCATTCTTGGTATTTTTTATAAAATTAATAATCCATAATATTTCATTTTAATTACTCATTAACTATCCCTCATATTCCCTCTTAGCGTGTCAAATTTTCTCTTTCGCCATCGTCTATTGAATTACCCACGCCATCTTTGCATCCATGATAAGGGTGATATACAAAATTCCTATTACGAAAATCGGGTTTTCCATCTAGTATAACGTCCGCCATGAGGGGGGTTAGATAGCTATTTAGGGTGGATGCTCTATAAGGCTGTGTTTATGTGTAAACTTTACGAAAAATGTATCATTTTATTTAGGTTTATCTGAATAGTATTGCAACGCACAACAAGCTATCAGAATCTCCGGATCAGTAGCTTTCATATGATGTTTGAAATACTACAATACCCAATCTTACTCTAATATATTACAGTTACCATCATTTTAACGTTCGTTTACTCCCCTTTTCTAGACTTTTCCCAGTTCCACACTCAGGTACCGTCTTTTGGACTGTATAATTGGAGAAAATAAGACAATTCTAATACATCTGGCGTATAATCCATCTTTAATGGTAGTATATATATTAAGGAAACACATTTTCAATAGAAGTTTCGATCGTGACATACAAAAATAGCTCGCGCTAAGGGACAGTTTTGTTGCGTCCTCCTAAATATCATTTTTTTATTCTTCCTTTTCGATTTGCAATCGAAAACCCTCAAACGAACCTTCAGTCTTTTACACGCCGGCGTGTTCTTTGTTTCTCTCAGCACAATGTTCAAAGTTTTAGCAGCATCAACACTCATTTCTAGCGCCTTAGCTCATGGTGTTATTTCTTACATAGATGTAGCACAGGGCTTTACTGGACCTCAACCACAGGAGTCTGCAGACAGTCCAATCTGGACTGCAGGTATCGACCCCGTCACTGATGCATACTCACCAGACATGTTTTGTGGGCCTGACTCACATACAAACAATCAAATGGCTTCAATTGGTGCTGGATCCGCCATGACTATCTACTGGGAAGAAACACAAGGTACTAATTGGCCACACAACACTGGTCCAATCATTACTTACCTTGCTGCATGTAACGGTGATTGTGCAAACATGGACGCAGGTTCTGCTCAATGGTTCAAGATTGACCAACAAGCTTTCTCCAATGGTCAATGGGTTCAAGCTACTCTTTTGAATGGTGCTGGTTACCAAGTTACTATTCCATCTGACTTAGCTGCTGGAAACTATCTCATGAGAACTGAAATCATCGCTTTACACAACAGCTACCCAGAGTTCTACCCAAGATGCTCTTCATGGACCATCACAGGTGGTGGTTCCAACTCATATAGCTCAGAAGCAACTGGTAGCTTCCCTGGTTCATACAGCCCATCAGATGCAGGATTGAGTCAATCTGGTAGCGGTATCTACAACGTTCAATCCACCTCAGATTATTCTTTCCCAGGTATGTTTTATCTTTAACAAATGTCTCATTCTCATAACGCGCTATTTAGGACCAGAGCTTATCACAGTTGGACAAGGTGGTTCAGATAGTAACAACAGTGCTCAGCCAGCCAACAACGTTAATGCTCAAGTCTCTGACCAAGCTGACTCTGATGAAAGATCATCAAATGATAATGACAACACTGATGATAACGACAACAACGATGACAGTGACAACGGTGACAGCTACGCTTATAGCTCTCAAGAAGAAGACACTCAATCTTCTTCATCTACAGAGGATGCTACAGCCGCAGCTCAACCAACAGAGAGTGCAAATGATCAAGAACAGGAAACCACTTCTGAAGCTCCTGCACCTACATCAACTAGCGAAAGCTCTTCTGTATCACCTGCACCAACATCAACCAGCTCAACTGAGTCAGCTCCTACTACTAGTTGCTCATCAACCCAGTACGCTAATGAAGATGAATGTGAATCAAAGTGGACCGAATGTAACAACAACTACGTCCCTGGTGAAGAGTACACTTGCCAAACTGAATTTTCACAATGTCGCGGTCAATCAGTCCAAAGAAGATTGTTATCAAACCAAAAGATGATGATCAAGAGGGTAAAAAGATCAGAACATTTAAAGCGTCATTTTAGACACTAAAATATATCTGATCGATAATAAACAAGGAATGGGTACGAATGATTAAAATGGATTTTAATCATTTTATTTTTATTTTTATTTCTTTATATTCCCCTTATTGTATACCTTTGATAGGCTTCTAATACATCCGCCTTGTTTGTCACACTTTGATTCCTTACAGTGAACTACTAAAAAACCAAATGGGTAAATATAAGAATATTTTTGAATAACCTAAATAACCCATTTACAGGTATTCCAAAGGTATGTTTATCTCTCAAGTTTATTACCGGCTTATCGAGATCTCTTGTTTAGTTTTTCAGATATGTATCGTGAGTGACATATTATAGCTCGGGAAGCCATCTTAATAGTCCATATAGTGAAAGATACCCACTCACTAGTCAATTAGTCGAAGATAATAGAATCGCTGAGTTTGGTAAGTATGACAGTCAGCTGAGATCACCTTATTGATAGCAACTCAGACTGCTTATACTTGGATATGAATGGGTGAGAACATTACAAAATGCGTACTTCCATCTAATCATCTCGCTAGTATCATACACGTTTGTGCAGCGCCAACGAGTGAAGGCTCCGTACGTAAAGTAAATGAAACTGAAATGTTCCAAAATATCTTCAAGGTGGGATGGCTGCTAATTTATACATTTCAACGATACTCATAGCCTTTTAGTATCTCGAACACTTGTTCTCTAAAATCAGACCAAAGAAGACGTTCTTTATGGCTGTCGATGGTGTAGCACCACGTGCTAAAATGAACCAACAACGTAGTCGTAGGTTTAGAACTGCGCAAGAGCATACAGAAAACCTCGCAAAAGCTGAAAGAAATGGCGAAAATGTCGAAGATGCTTTCAACAGCAATTGCATTACCCCAGGTACAACATTCATGGCTAAATTATCAAAACAATTAAAGTACTTTGTACACAAGAAAATAACAGAAGATGCCTTATGGCAAGGTGTTGATGTCATCCTATCTGGTCACGAAGTTCCTGGTGAAGGAGAGCACAAAATTCAAGAATTTATTCGTCTCACTAAAGCTCAAGAGGGTTACAATCCAAATACGCGTCATTGTCTTTATGGTTTAGATGCTGACCTTATCATGCTTGGTTTATTGTCACATGAACCACATTTCTGCTTATTACGTGAAGAAGTAACATTCGGTCCTCAAAAGAAGAAAAAAAGAGAAGGTTTGGAACATCAGAAATTTTACTTAATGCATCTTTCACTCTTCCGTGAATATCTAGATCTTGAATTTAAGGAGATAAGGCATACTTTGAACTTCGAATACAATCTGGAGAGAATCATTGACGATTTCATTCTCCTTGCTATTCTTGTTGGTAATGATTTCTTACCACATTTGCCCGGTTTCCATATTAACGAAGGTGCACTCGAGTTGTTATTCACATCATACAAGAAAATCCTTAGAGAGGCAGGTGGTTACATTAACGAACTTGGTACTATCAACTTTGGTCGCTTACAACTAGTCATGAATCATCTTCATGATTTCGAAAAGGCGATGTTTAAAGAGGAGCTTGCTGACACAGAATTGGAAAATGGACCAGTTGGTACTTTCACACCACTAAAATTGGAACAAGGAAATACAACAATGACCACCAAACAGAAGTTATTCCACGAGAAGCTCTACGAGAGTATTACAAATGGCTCCCTATCGAAGAAAGGTGGTGTGCTTGAAGTTAATCTCCCGTTAGCCGAATCTGAAAGGGAGTATCTTCATGCCGTCTCTAATCAACTTGATTTAGTTGTTGAATATGATCACTTCTCTGAAGACGATGTACCAAAAGTGTGTATCAAAGCACCTGTCTCAGCTGCCAAGCAAGAAAGTGTATCAGTTGCGCAGAGGATCGGTATGGCACTCGATGATGATTCTGATGAAGAAAGTGAAACTATTCCTAACAACTCTGATACACTCGATGAAGGAATGGAAAACTTAAACATTGGAGGTGCATTTAGCGGAAACTTTGTCAAAACATTGGCTTCTTTCAATCCACGTAAAGTTGTTGATGATCCTGAAGATGTTATGGAAGAGCATGAAAATGCTCTTGATAGGAGTTTTGAGGATAAATTCAAAGAGTGGAAATCAACTTACTATAGCACGAAATTAGGTTTCCATAAAGCTAACCAACCAGAACAAGTTCGTCAATTAGTACAAAGATATGTTGAAGGTCTTCAGTGGGTCATTAAATATTACTACGAAGGTTGCGTATCTTGGGGATGGTTCTATGATTACTATTACGCCCCTAAAATTTCAGATATCATCAACATGGGTGAAATCAAATGCGAATTTGAAAAGGGTATTCCCTTCAAGCCATTTGAACAACTCATGGGTGTTTTACCCTCTGCCAGCAAAGAACTTGTTCCCCTTGTTTACAGAGATCTCATGACAGAGCAAACCTCACCAATAATTAAATTCTATCCTGAAAACTTCGAGAAGGATATGAATGGAAAGAAGCAAGAGTGGGAGGCAATCGTTAAGATCCCATTTATCGAAGAAGAGCTCTTGCTTAATACGATGAGAAGAGTTGAACAAGCATTGACTCCAGAAGAAAGGTTGAGAAACTCATTTGGAGAAGCAACCATCTTCCATTATGATGCTAATAAGAAAGACCAGAATTATGAATCATCTAATGAAAAATTCACAACCATAACTAACGACAAATGTGATGAAAAGGTTTACAAACATGCTGAACTCGGTCCAGGTGGATTTTTACAAGGATTAGTTCCAAAGGCTCGTAGTGGAAAGTATGCACTTGCAGGATTCCCATCGCTCTATAATTTGGATTTCGATGCTTTAATTCAAAAGCATGGTGTTATGGTATTTAACCAACCATCAAGAAAGGATTCAATTGTTATTATCACCAAGAACAACTTCCAGGATCAAGCAACCAAAGATCTCTCAAGAGAGTTGATTGGTAAGAGAATATTCATCAATTGGCCATTCCTTCAAGAGGCATTCGTGGTCGCACTTAGTGATGAAGATACTAAATACTACTCTGATGGAAACAGTATTGCTGAGGCTCCTAATAATAAATCTAACTTTAGAAAAGACAGTAGTCGTCTTGAAAACGAATACTCTAAGAGCAGAGCTGTGCGTATTGGAAATGTTGATATTATCGTACACGCACTTCCATTGAAGGGTACGTTGTAGTTTTCTTTTAATTCGTCAAAACGCTAAATCATCATAGGGCTTAAGAGAAGGCTTACCGGTGAGCTCGTCAAAGATTATGGAAATGCAGATGAGGAAGTCCTCTGTGCGCTTCAAACTACAGTTTTGGAAGTAGAATCAGAAGATCAACGTTACTTGGAGAAACCAGCTCCACCAATCGAGGAAGAATTCCCAGCTGGCACTGAATTGTTCTTCTTAGGTGGGAAGTATGGTTCACCAGCGACTGTTGTTGCTGCTGACAACAAGGTTAACACATTGGCATTAAAGTTGGTTATGATGCCTAATTTAACTGAGAGGCCAAGGTTTAACGCTTTGGGTAAATCTGCTAATAGTGAGAGATATCATATTTCACCTAGAGTTGCATCTTCCTTGGGTATTACCTCCTTGACATTGTCCAAGGTAACTAGTGCTTTGAAGGTCACCACACCAGAGGGAAGGAGTATTAACATTGGTTTAAATCTCAAGTTTGAAAGTAGAGGAGAGAAAGTTCTTGGATACTCCCAAAAGAACTCTGTTGGCTGGGAGTACTCCGATAAAGCGACCGATCTCATTAGCGAGTATAAGGTAAGGAAAAGTTAATTTAATCTAATTTAATTTTCGTTTACATTTCCCCGATAGCAAAGATATCCTGAATTATTCAAACATCTCGACAGGAAGGGTAACCTTGACATATTTAGTGAAATCTGGCAAGACCGTCAAGAAGCATCTAGTAGATTAGCTGAAATTCAAGCATGGTTGAAGGAGAAGAACATCAATCAACTTGAAACTGTTTCCTTGTTCGTTAATCAATTATCCTCAGAAGCAGTCAATGAAGTAGAGGTACTTTCGAATGAATTAGTTAACAACATGAAGAATGTAGAACCTAAGAAGGCTATTGTTAAGGGCGTGCCAAGACATGCAGTTTTGAAACCAAACCACGCTCCATCACGAATTATTAATCAGCAATTTAAGTTATGTGATAGAGTCGTCTACGTTGCCGATCACGGTAAAGTTAACTTAGCATCTAGAGGCACAGTCGTGGGTATTGCAGCAAACAATCTAATTGACGTAGTTATGGATGAACCATTCATGAGTGGCACAACGTTAGGTGGAAAGTGTACTCAATATAGAGGTGCAACTTTACCTTCATATTCTGTTTTGAATTTGAGTAACCCACAATTTTTAGCAAGTATGGATGGAATTGCTGAAAATAAAACATTCGAGTCACCACAAAAACCATTTGTAAGACAAATTGGACCAAAACCTACATTAGGTGGTGATCGCTACGTTCAACAAGCTACAACAACACCTCAACGTCAGCAATATGTACCAAAAGGTGGTTACAATGCTGCTCATAAAGGTGGTAATAAACCACAACAAAATTGGTCATCACATCAACAGCAACTCGCAAGTACACTCACTGGTGGCGATAAACCAAGATTTACAAATCGCCCTTTACCACCTCACCAACAACAACACCAACCTAGCTTCAGACCTCATTTTGATAATAGAGCACCACCACCTCATTTAGTTAATCAAATGAATCAAAGAGCACCACCTCCACACCTCATTAATCAGAAGGCGGTTCCACCACATATTTCGCATCAGAAGGCCGCGCCACCACATCTGGCAGGGCAAAAAGCTGTGCCACCACACCTTCAGCAACAGTCTTCTATACAATTCGGTAATCACAGTATTCCAGTCACGCATGCAGTTGACACTAATGGTAATGGTAATTCGAGAGGTGGTTATAGAGGCAGAGGTAGAGGTAGAGGTAATGGTAGAGGTAGAGGAGGAGGATTTAAACAACCATAACTGCTGACAATTGGATTCGCATCGCATTCCTATTCTTTAATGATCATAAAATAAATGCACTTGTATGTACTTATTTAATTTTATCAATTTTTTTTAAATCTTAAATCAATGAACCACTGTTAGCTGCTGCTTTAGCTGCTTTGATTTGTGCAATCTTTTGTGCTCTCTCTTCTTTCTTACGAGCTAATTCTTGTGCTTTTTCTTCTTTACTCAATGGCATTGAAGGTGTTGTTGGTGGAGATGGTATTAGTGCGTTTAGAGATGGTGATTTTTGTACAGTTTTAGAGTTTTCTTGTGTTGATGTTGCGTTATTTGTACTATGTGCACGGCTTAATGATGGTCCTGCCACATTTAATCTCGTCGATTGTGTTGGTTTCATCGGTTGTAATGATGGTGCAGCTGGTCCTTGCTTAATAGGAGCAGAAGCAGGTGAAGGACTTTTCGAGAGCTCATTTGTGTGAATCTTTGGTATAGTCGGTATACTCTTAGGTTGTTCTTCATCGAGGTCGCCCCAACCGTCATCATTGGTTTCGTTAGATAAAGATAGGAGCGAATCTAAAGTTGGTTTTTGACCACTCAGTTTCATTCCACCAGATGATGATGACGTTGGCTTCTCAGCATATGAAGTTGACAACGATGATGAATGGCTTGGTGCCGAAGGAGATAAGGGTAGAGTAGGACCAGCTGATGTCATTGCAGTTGTCGCTTCATTTGCTTCCAACTATGATTTCTCGTTAGCTTTGGTAAATGTTATGTCATTACTACTAACCTTCTTGGTCGTTGTTGACGTACCAAATGCCCATCCAGCAATGGCTGATGCAGCATTACCTAATTGATCATCACCAAGGAAGGACTTTCCAGCGGTGCCGCTATAACTGTAATCAATTTCGCTATCTGCTTTGATTGCGGTTTCTGGCATTTTGGAAGCTATACTTTCAACACGTGCTATAATGCTACGTAAAACGTCAAACGCTTGATCACGTACGCTCTTCTCTTTATCTAGTAAACATGGACAAATAGTTGGTAAGACTCTTGTAGCTAGATCATTTTCTTCCTGATCATCAACAGTTGCTAAAAGAGTTCTCAAACCAGCTGCTCTAGCAGGAGCGAAACTATCTTTCATGGCTCGTGCGCACGCAGATACTAAGACTTTTTTACGAGTAGCTAATGCCAATTTTGGCGTTAATTTTCCAATCAAAATGCAAGTATTCGTACGTATACTTGGTTCAGGATCTAATTGTGCTTTAGCGAGTTGTTTAAGTAACTCATTATTAAGTATCCTGTCTGATAATTTTGAAGAAATTAGAGGTACTGCTTTGATTGTGGCCTCTCTTAAAACTGCAGCCGTATCATTGAATCCTGTTATCAATTGTGGCCATAATTCGTTAACCACGATCTTGTTTGATAGCACATCGATGTACCTTTCGAGATCTTCAAGTAAGGCCATCCGTGTACCTCTATCAGGGCTCATCCATAATCGTAATAAGGGTTTGCTAATTGCTTTACTACGTTCATCTTCTGTGTCCAAACGCATACCAATTCTGACTATCAATGGTACAAGTGAAGGTGCAGAATCACCAGCTGTCATGAACTCAACAGAGTGGACCAAAGTTGGTAAGATTCTATGTATAGCTAATGAATTTGGTATTGAAACTTTTCTCTCTCCAAGTATATTACCGCTTGAATTGTCGTAGTTGAGTAACTGAGAAAGATTCTTAAGAAAGACGACTCTTTCAGCTTGTCTCATAAGACTGAAAACTTCTAAACCTTGACATAACTCGATGAGAGGGTTTTGAGTAAAGAATGCGCCATTTTGTGTATCCTGTGAGTTATTTCCAAGTTGCAAAAAACCATCAACTGATAATCTACTTTTTGGCGATGGATGAAGGAGTTTTTTGTACGCATTAAATAAGCTCGTTGGTATCATACCCTTGCTAGATGGCGGTGGTGCACTCGTTAAATCCAATGGTAAGGGTTTTGTTGGGTTGTACAGCTGACTTATGAGTAATGCAAAAGAATATGAGTCAAGACTCGAAACTGGATTACTTGATATAGCATCAAAACCTTGCCTAGCTTCAGGTGCAGCTGTTTTTCTATCATAGTTCCCTTCTAATATTCCATTGCTGAGTTCAGATTGTGACGTAGCTAACTCAAAACCACCGAGCTTCCATTCGCCTGATTCACTGATAAAGATGCTATCACTAGATACAGCGCCGTGTATAGAGTTAGTGAGGGTGTGTAAGAATGATAAAGCTTGAGAAATATTCTGAAGACCCCAAGTTAACCAGATAGTGTCGTCAGAAGGCAGGAATGTCGATAAAGGAGTTGCTCTTTCAGTAGCGATATATATCATAGTGTCAGTTTCAATAGCATCTACGTATTTCAATATCTGTGGATGTCTCAATGTGCGTAACTTCCTCAATGCGTTGTTAGCGAGCTGTGTATATCTCTGATTGATTTGTTTGTTGTAAACGAAAATAGTGAGTGAACTATTATCATCCTGAATAGAAACATTAGATGAATATTAGAATCTAAAGGTAGTTACCCTCTTGACACCATCAAAAGTATCCCAAATTGAGTGCTTCCCTGTGGCTTTACCAATAGTAAAAGGTAGATTCCTGCCACTCTTCTCTAGAACAGCTGTTGTAGCTGCCTGTGTAAGTTGATAGATATAGTTCATCCGATTTGTCACTCTTCTGACTGTTCTATTCTGACATCCACTTCGACGATAAAAAGTCAATAAAAATGAGCGAACAAACAGCGCAGAACGATATTAGAATTAAATCTCAACCTTTACTATCACCTTCTGCTACTATTTCACAACAAAGAGAGCAGCAACAGTCATATTTCCCCGCTATCCTAACAAACCCAAAGTTGGGACAGCTACGTGGAGAGTTTCTTTCTAACACCCAAAGGTCTAAGAGTGAAGGATACATTGGTAGGAGGCGTAGAAATATCCAAGAGAGGGACTCTTCACTCACTGCTAGGATCGGGAGAGACAGGGATAGGGACGATGACACACCACAACAATTAGACAGTTATAAATCCACCTTCCCATCCCCTTTACCACCTTCTTTATTACCACGTAATCAACCAGTACCTTCTACCACCGTCCGCGGAAGATCACAACGTAAATCATCATCATCTGCAGGTGACGAAGGTGGGTGACGATGAACTTTAAATCTAAACTTTATTGATATCATTAAAGGCTCCTTTTATATTAGTTTAAAAGGTATTAGAAAGACTTTGGCCCCAAGAGGTACTGGTTCTGCTAGAGCAAGGTTTGTTGTTCAAACGACTGAATCTGAGATTCGTAGCTGGTAATTTTCTTCTCTTATATCATTATACAGTATTTTAATTTTATCTTCTAGGATTCTAGGATCTTCAAGTGAAGTCGTTATCAATCCAGATGACAATAACCATACGCTTGGTAGAGTTATTGACGCTACAACAACATGCAACGCAAATGGGCACCAACATGATGATGACGAGGAATGCATCGAACTGCCGAGTATCATAGAGTTATCACGCTCTCCAAGCAGTCTCGTTTGGTTAATTCCTGAGAAATTTGAAAGATTTGTCGTTCATTGTGTTGCACGTTGGTGGGGTGTAGTTAGTTTCTCAAAGACTAACAACGATGGTGACAGAGTCACACATCTTCTCAAACCACGTTTACCTGCAGATAAGCAAGTGAAACATAACCATTTGGATACGCCACCTGTAAGTGAAGTGGACACTGCAAGCGAGATAGCAAGTGAAACTGCTAGTGATTATCAAATGTCACAATCTGAAGCAGAGGATAACGCCCCAGCTAACACTAGCACTGCATGGGCAGAAATAACAGATGACTTTGAGAGAAGGTTAGATGTGGATAAAAATACTAGCGATGACGATATAAGGTCAAATGATCGTGAACGCATGGGTAGAAGCCGCAATATGCCAGAACGTACTAGTAGAGCTGTGAGGGAAAGTGATACAGAAGAGAGTGACGCTGAACGTACATCCCCAAATGCGACCAGATCAACTATACCTCGCAAAGTTGTACCTAAATCTGCTTCGACTCATCCTTGGAGAGAGCCAACTGTCTCTTTCTCAGAGTACCTTTTTGAAGCTGTCTAGAAGTCCAGACAGGCGAACAATTTATGATAGAATTTCCTTTTTTGGTCTGCATTCTTTTTAGATTTCGAGTTGTATTTGTTTTAGTTTCTAACTGTTATATAAATATCCCTTTTCCATTGCAAAGCTACTTTTCTTAATTTGTCAATTTATTGACACGTCAAGGATCAAATGAAAGCTTTTAAAGCTGATACTAAAACCAGTTGTATTGCAGTAAAAACTGAAGATGTAGATGAGACGTTGTCAAGCGAAAATTTGAACTATATTAGAAAATAAGATCGAAACATCACAAAATACAGTCGCATAATAACCATGCCTATAATCTATATCATTCTTAGATGAATACAGTCTTTGAATTATGATATTCAATGCATATGAAACATTATCGAATTATCGCTTTAGCCAGATAACACAGGCTCAAGAGTTTGGATATCTTTGTTCTGATTTGAGATGATCCAAAAGTAAGCAATGATACTGCCTAATAAGATGGATGCATCCTCTCGATGAAGTAGAAGCATTAAATAAAGCTTAAGGGTCAAATTCTACAAAATAACCAAATAACCAAATGCCTACGTAACGAACAAGTCAGTTTTCTTTGAATTTCATTTCTCTACATGAATTTCCATTTGCTCATCACATGCATTTGGTTTTATCTATAATTTATACAATCATCATTACTTAGCCTCAGTTGCCTCTGGATCTGGGGTTGGATCTATCTCCTTTAATGAAATTTTGACACCACTGTTTGACAGTCTAATGAGTGTCTCATCGTATGGTAGCTTAGATGCTAGTAATTTGACAGCACCTTGTAAAACATCAGCGGCAGGTAGCTCTATTTTAGTAATATCATAATCATCCGCGCGTGTAGGCCCAATCTAGTAGATAAAATTAGAGAGTCCTAGTGCAATAGAAGATTTACACCTACATTAATCATTAAAACTTGTTTTTTTGCCTCTATAGCTTGTTTGATCAACCTGAAAGCAGAATATGTCGCCAGTGAACTACCAATAACAAGTATTCTGTCAGCATCGTGAATAGCCTTTACACTTTCCTCTTTCTGTCGGACGTCCAACGATTCACCGAAGAAAACAACGTCAGGTTTATAAAATGCTCGAATATCATCCTCCAAACCATTCGGATTAGGTATTTTAAACATTTCATAAGTTAGCCCACTTGGTAACTCAACATCACCATCAGGATTTTGTTTTAATTTTGTCTGAGAATTAGCAAACTCCAGCCAATTAGGGTTGAGTGCTGCTAATTCTGTTTGAAGCTCCGAGCGTAATTTCTTTGGATGGTTTGGGTAATTCGGGACAACTGCAAAGTTCAGTGTACCATGCAATTCCAATATCCGATCATCTGGGTTGAGTAAATCCGTTGATGCTCTATGATGGAGTCTATCTACGTTCTGACAGGTTTATTGTGAGATGTGGAATTTATTGTCTTGTCAAACCTACTTGAGTTACTAATTTGTCTACCAAGTTCATGTATTGTAAAGCTGCTACATTGTAATGGACTCTATTCGGTAGAGCATGCTGTACTGGGATATAACCGAAGAATGATCGTGCCCCTATATATTATAAGTTAATGGGGGAGGTGATAACATCCACCCAACCCACAGTATCGCTGTCTGAATAGTCTTCCTTCCTCAGAATCCTCCATAAACTAAATATTTTTAGCTTTATATTTCATATATATCACCTCTACACACCTCATGATAGAAAATTGGACGATACCTTCTTCGAAGTTAAACTAGTTGTGGCAATTATTTCTCACTCACTTCTTGTGTAGCTCATAATGACCTTGATTACCTCTATAAGCTCTAATTCCACTTTCTACACTCGCACCCGCTCCACTAACTATCGCAGTCTTCCCTCTACCTTTCTCTTGCGTCAGAAAGGAGGCAACAAGTTCTACAGCTTGATCGTAGGTATATTCCTTCTGATTGCTAGGTTTTTTTGGTTTCGGTATACTCGGTATTTGTAACCTCTTTCCATTTCGCAGTCTGCTGGACATTATTACTGAAATGACGTCGACGTTGTTAGCGAAGAAGTTACAAAAATACATCATTAGAGATTATAAAGATTATTGATAATATAATTGTTTTCATTAACTAAACGTGAAATGTATTCGAAAGAGATTGTTATTAAGACTTTGTACAACTAAAAGTTTCTAATTAGATAAAAGAAGGTGAAAAAAATTAGTGAAAGCGAAGATAATTTGTCTCCTGACAACTTTATGCGAATTCTTGTTGCTCAGACGAGCCTCTTTGGCCGCCCTTCTCAGCGTCAATCCTGAGCGTAGTGTCGCCCAATCCAATACGGTCTAACTCAACCATGATCTCATCTTGTGAGAGTTTTGGCATTTCGTTCGCGACCTTCCAGTAAGTCTTTCCTTCGGTGTAACCAACGGCGAAGATCAAATCAATTTCTTCAAGAGATCTACCAGCTGTTTCTGGATAGAAGAAGTAAATGACTGGAATGAAGAGTAAGTTGAGACCACCTGCAGCTGGTTAGCATGAAGGTGAAAGTTTTAGCGTACTACACACCGAAGAAAGCAAAAGTACCGAAATCGATAGAAGCAAGCATAGGTGGTGTCCACTGGACAACAGCAAAGTTCCAGATCCAGTTGGTCATAGTTGAGACAGCGTTGGCGTTAGTACGGATACGAAGTGGGTTGATTTCAGCTGGATACAACCATGGAAGTTCGAGCCATGTAGCACCGAAGAATCCTAAGAAAAGGAAAAGACCGAGGACGGAACCCTTAATGACTTCTTGTGGATCATGGCCTGAATATTCGTAACCATTGTCTACTCTGTATTGAGGAATCATGCAAGCCATAATCAAAATCATAGACAATCCTTGACCAAGGGAACCATATAAGAACATTTTGCGTCTACCAACGTGTTCGACCAACCAGTATGAACTGTAAGCACACAAGGCGTAAACAATGACATTTACACCACCAAGAATGAGTGCAAGGTTTCTCTCCAAACCGAGACGATCTTGGAAGATGACTGGTGAGAAGTAGATAACAGCGTTACAACCACCAATTTGTTGGCTGTATGGATTAGATAGGCCCAAGTGTTAAGTATCAATCACTCACAAGAATTGGGAAGTAGAACCGAGCCAGACTCTTCTTAAGTGTTGTGTCTTACCTGTGTTGACGTCAGTATTTGTCACATCGACGTGCCAAGATTTTCAATACTTACCACCGGTGAACAAGTCAGTCTTTTTAGCCTTGATTGCTGACATAGCTTTGACAGATTCCTTAATAATATCTGCCTCTTTCGTGGCAATCTTATCATGGACAGGTACGTTATTAAGAGAAGCAACAACCCTCAGACCTTCTTCTTCATGACCATTGACTAGTAACCAACGTGGTGAATCTGGAAGGTAGTAGGCACCTGCGAATAAACCGAAAGCAAAGACAATTTGGAAGGCGATTGGGAATCTCCATGAAACGTCCCTCGCATCATTTCTAACGAATGATAAACCGAAATCGATCCAGTATGCAATAACAGTACCAGTTGCAATCATAGAAGCTTCAATACAGACCAAAAGACCTCTGTTGTGTGATTTGGATGTTTCAGCCTGTGTAATTGTTTATTAATTAAGGAATGAAGTTTTAGAATAATTAACGCACCTGCCATGTTGGAATTGTTGCAGTGTTAATACCATTACCGACACCTGTAACAACTCTACCGACACAGAATTGTTCCGGTGCTTTGTAACCGGCAAAAGCGGTAACTTGAATAACAGCTAAATTAAATTTAGTAAATTTATTATTATAATAAGTAGCATAAAACTTACTACCAATAACCATAATGAAAGCTCCCAAAGCCATCATCTTACATCTACCGAGTTTGTCACCAGCAATAAGTGCGAATAAAGCACCAGCGAGACAACCAAGTTCGTACTGTAAATAGCACGTTAATACTGAGTTATTTTATTACTTTGTTCTCACAATAGAAGTGTATGTTGCTTGAATAAGTGATGCGTATTCATCCGCACCAGCAGGGTCACCAGGGAAGTTGTTTGCCTCCTGGTAGTCCTTGCTAACAGCAGGAAAAACCTCTGCAAACTGGTCTGCAGTAATGATACCAGACATGACACCTTGATCTGTTAAATAGTTTAGCAGATGAGTTACTAACATAAGCTGATACCCCACCATAACCGAAAAGTAAGAAACCGACTGTAGCGGTTGCAGTGATAGCAGCTCCTAACTTGTTACCAGTGAGACCCATAACTTTTGCCTAGTCAACTTTGACAGCCATCGATAAGACCCGACTTACAAGTTGGGACTCCAGATGCATTCTCTGAGATTGGCTGATCAACTTCAGCCTCTTTTTTCTTAAACATTTTTGTGTGCTGGTGGTTGTCAATAAAGAGGATGCTCTCATCAGGGTCGATTATAATTTCATTTTTTTGACTTGGGTCACCTGGACGGGCTGTTTTGTAACTGACGAGGCAGACTCATGTGCTTCATGTGCTAGATATTCGGATGACTTAGATAATAATATGTCGTGCATTAATTTTTACTAAATCTTTATGTATATTGCTTTCCTAATTGGGCCTTCTTTCCAGAATTGGCGTTTCTGTGACAAAAAAGTAACTCCGGCGCTCGGTCCATATCAGCATTTATGCACTAAAAAGATTCCTTAAAAAAGCTGTGTATATATCTTTGAGCTATCATGAGTGTATAGCAATTAATTAGTCTCACCTGAATTTTACCTCAGCATCATTACCAACTTCCTTGATTGCTTCCTGAATTGAGCGAGCCAGGGCAGGGGGTCCGCAAAAAAAGGTGGCTATGTTGGTCTTAAGGTGTGCCTCTCTACCATATAAATAGGTTGAGTTTGGCCGAGTGATTGAAGATTTTAAATCGCTATAAACGCTTCTCCATTCTGGTCTACCGAATCTGGTGCGACACTGTAGATTTGTAAGTGGATCAGACTTGGCACCCCTAAAAGTTTCCATCAGAAATTAATATCTTTCTTGGTGATTGTATCACGTACACATCATTTAATGATATGTTATGAATCATTTCATCCTTCCATTTAGTGAGGTATATGTTGATATTGATGAAGGACGTGTGCTCCTTTTGGCCTTCTTCAATAGTTGTAAGGAGTTTCTTAAACCAAATAAATGATCTTTGCGGGGTTAGCGGGGTAACCTGGAGTATCATTACTGACTCTGTCTCACGGCAGATCCAGTAAAACTCGACCCTCTTTAATACACCAAGCTGCTGGTTGAGTTTGCGATACCTAAAAGAGATTTAAATTACTATTAGTAGTTGTTTTTCACTTACCATAAGCTCTTCAAAATCGATGCAAACGGCGTAACTCCGATACCAGCGCCAATGAGTACTGCTACTTCTTTATTCAGTGCGTTCTACGGGATATGAATGTGTCTGTAATGGTAACTAGGACGTACATCTGCTGGTGCGCCATATGGACCGTCGACCATCAACCTTGGCATCTCGCAGTTGCAAGTGACCTGAGATACATACTCAGAGCTTAGTTGGTCTTGCTTACTGATGCCACTGCCCATTGCAATACCAAAGAGTGGCCCTAAAGATTTGCTGAAATCACCGACTTGCCTAACATGTATAGATGTAAAGTCATCCTCTGGTGCACTATTGTGAATTAGTGAATGTTTACAAACAGGTTTAAACGAACGATGTGATCGTGAACTAGAAAATGTCAAGGCTGCCGGCATGTCATGTGATGTGACGACTTACTGGATGCCACTGGAACTTTGATAACTCGGGCAGCTGAATCCAAATATACTGGCCACTTTTGTATCTTAGATGGATGTTAAAGGTAAATATCGGTCTGCCAAGCTCTCCCACTTCAAAGATGGCTAGAAAAGCAATGTCAAATCGATATGACATAACATAATGCGTATAAAACACGCACTTTCTCAAACCTGATCTCGATCGTATTTCCAGGGTGTACAAATACATTGGTAATGTTCGTTTTGAAAAAGCGTGCTCTGATCTCGATGAATACACGTTCGAAAATGTATGCGATGAAAGGCCACTATTTAAGCTGCATAAACGATAGTTACCGGAGTTTATTAACTTACTATGATAAACCTCCAGCTACAAGGGACATTAGTTGGCCTTTAAATCGCGGGAAACAAACCTTTCGTAACCTAGACAATGTTCAGTCGAATAGAAGGGAAAGCTATTGCGAAAATCAGGCTGAGGAGAATCGCGTACAAAACATCCCGTTGCATGTGTGAAGAGTGAAAGCATGAAAATTAGAGCTGTGATTTGGTGAATATACCAAAACAGTTCAAATTTCTGGTGCCTGATTGTTACATGTGCAGCTGAGTACAGCAGGAACATTGCAAGCATCCTAGCATGGTCAGCGCGCTCGTGTTTAAACGTCCAACTAACATCACGTGTCCAGTTATGCCGCCTGCTTGTGTGTAATGAATCTGCCAAGCTGCAACAGGACGTAATTCTGCGAGTTGCATGAGGTACAATTAGCAAACCAAAAACCTACGCATTCTCTCTACATTGATGAAGTTCACCTGATACAATTAGCAAACGCGTGTTTGAGAAACTGCTTAACTCACATAATGAGCAGTGACGTGTACTATTGTCCAGAAAAGTAACATATACGCAACTTGCTTATGGAACCAACTGTAGAATTCAATTAAGTAGTTAATTTGAAGACTTTCACCTACATATTCTCATCAAGTGGGACGGCAGGGCCGAGGTACGAACGAACGAGATGGATAACGTTTCTAAGCACTTAGATGGGTGTTAAAACAGGCACTTAGCTAGCTAGCTGCTCACTTGGGAGTAAAATAAGTCCACCATCTAGTGCGAGTACTAAACCAGCACCTCTGCTGACCCAAACTGAGAGTTTCAACTTATTCAAGGCAGCGAGCCTGTCGTCTGCCTGTTGTGTGTACCAGCCATATACGAACTGCTTTATTGGTTATCCTCTACGCAGTGCATCTCTCTATGAACCTACCAATGCAACATGAACACCATAAAAGACTAACTAAAACGCGTGAAAAAGATGAAAGGTAAATGGTACGCCCCTACGCAGAATAGCGCAGCCTTCACTGTGAATTTATTCTTTAAATTTCTCAACATCATGATCATCAGTCGCTTTAGACAAATCGTTACGACGAGGGTGTTACTTATGAAAATTTTGTCCTACATCTAGAATATTAAACATACAATAAAATACTATGACAATAATAATACTTAATTAATCTGAATCGCTGCCGTACCCCGCTAAACCCCCTAAACCATTAGTTGGTTTGCTCGCCACGGCGACCGCCGTTGGTTTGGATGCGCGCAACTGTGCGAGTTTGTTTATTGCCTGTATTGATGTACCCGATAGAAGGCCTTTGTCTTGCGGTTGCTGACTATGCTGGTGGCCCTGAACAGGTGTTACTTCGTCTGCGTCATCCTGTTCATCGTCCTCTTCTTGTCCATTTGTAATATATTCCACAGGAGGAGGTGGTGGTAAACCATTTTGGAGAGCTTCCATCTGTCTTGTGGCGTGAATAAGCTCTGTGTCCATCGCCAACCTCTTCGTAACTTTTTCAGTTCCTTCTTCTGCGGCTCTTTTGCGATCTTCATCGATGGCATCTGCCTTTGGATCCTCAGTAGCCCATCTAACGTTGAGCGTTTCTCCTTCATCGAGTGATTGACTTCCCATGGCTTCTTTAGCAAATTGAGCGTTGCATTCGTTTTTAAACTTGACGAATCCACATCCTCTACCGTGCAACACCCGCACTAATAGTATGTAAGTGACTTATTCAATAAAACATACTCAACATACCCTTCTCAATTTCACCGAATTCACCAAAGTGCTTTATCAACTGGTTCTCACCTCTACCTTCACCGTATTCTGCCATTCTACCGATATAAAGTGTTGTATTCTGTCTGCTGAAACTACCAACGCCGCTCATATCATCCCTGTAACTCGCGTGCTTCTCTCTTCCAAAAACGTCCCTTGATAAGTCATGTAAAATGTTTTGGGGGCGTGGCAATCTATGCAGATATTGACATTGTGCGCTAATTAAGTTATTAGCAAAAGAACTGACTACGTATGATGATCAACTCACCCAAGTGGACAACATCCTCTAGCGAAGAAGAGACAGTAAGTTTTCGCGCCACTAGCATCTGCTCTTGTATATCCTGAATCTTTCGTGAGATCCAACCTCGTCTGAGCATGTTCTTTACTATGTATAATGCTTAGTAATTATCTAAATGATGAATAAAGAGCACCCACGTATTCGTTGAATCCTCATAATCACCACCAGCCCATTTGTTATACCAAATGTCTATATAATCGTTAAAATATCTCAAATATCATCATCATATCAACTTACTATAAGTAAAACCAGTTTGTGCAATTTCAGGCTTTTTCAATTGTCCAGGTTCTACTTGCCTTCTAGCAGGCTGTACTAACCTTTTTGCTTTTGGCTGAGATGTGCTCATCGTTGCGGTTTAAGAGTATCTTATACTGAAACTACCAAGATGGCACCAAAAAGACCAGCTGGTTTAGGTGCAGCTAGTAAAGCTAAAAAGAACAAACAGGAGGAGCCAAATAAAGAAGAAAGATCGAATGTAGTACCACCTACACAGGAAGATACAGAAGATGGTGACGATTGGTTAGATTTATTAGAATTATGGGAGAAATGTAAAACTAGCTTGAATAGTCAGTATAACTGTATAAATCTAGTATAACTTTCTAATTCAACAATACAGGTAATGAACCAGCATCAAGCGCACCCTTGCTTAGAGGAATTTTACATGAAACAAGTCGTTTGGTTGATCTAAACGGAACAGATTTATCTGGATTTAAAAGTGTATCTGAAAATGGAGAGGAACTTCAGGTTTCTGTATCGCACTTCAGATTGATTTTGGCTTCTGCCTTATTGGAACTTGGTATTTTAATATCAGCATCTGCAAGATTTAATGAAAAGGATAGCCTTGCAGCGGAAGGAGAACCAAAGACAGGCTCACCATTCTTCTTTAGAGCGTATTCAGTCGCTAAGACAGTTGAGGATCAAGTTTTTATTGAAGATTCTGAATTAGTCGCTGGTAGATGCGCAGCGGAGTATCTCAAAGAGCGTACAGCATCTGGAGAGACAAGCAACGATCCAGATGATGAGCTTAAAGAGGAATCTAATCAACAACTTTTAGAAATCGCTACTGAGAGCATCTCAAAATGCAATTTAGACACGAAATCTCCAACCTTGTTACTATCTTTGGGTTCTTTATTATCAACACTCGAAGAAGATATCATCAATATTGAAAATCCATCAACGGCATTATCAATCTTCGAAACTGCACTTAAAAAAGCAGATAATACACAGACAAAGTTTGAACTACTCATTGGAAAAGCCAGAGTGTTGGTTTCGCGTGGTGGATATGTTATAGACAAGTTGTTTGACGAAGAAGACCCATCTGGTAAATCAAAAGTGGAAGGATATGTTCAACAGACGGTGAATGAGTTAAGAGTAGGTGAGTAGAGGTCTTCCATAACGCTCAAGTGTTAATACTCACAATTTGCAAGCAATCAATAGCTTAGAAGAAGCTCAAAACATGTCAGACGACCTTGAAGTAGGCGAAAGTGAAGCAAACGAGCTTACATCTTTAGTAAGTACTTGAAAGTTTATATAAACAGTCTAATGCCTTTATTAGCTCAAGGAAGCGATGATTTTCCTCGCCAACTTGCTTCCAGAAGGTGAAGAGCAGGAAGAACTATTCAAGAAGGCAGGCGTAGAAGACGAGGAAGAAGACGAGGAAGAAGACGAGGAAGCTTAATGGCTAGGAATATCCATAGTACATATTTAATATTATTTAAATGAATTGTTATTTGTAATATCTCACCACCATCAGTAGTGAAATATAAACGCGGAAATATGTCAATACAGGCAGCAGAGTATGCAGAATATGAAGGATTAGTGCTAGATATGCAAACTAGGCTGCTTGATTGCGCGATTACTGAGATAATTCAGGAGATATCAGATGTCGATGATATCGTCAGGAGATCTACAGAATATCTGAGAGATAAAGGTGTGTAGATATATATTTCACTTATAACACCACCTAAACCCCAATATGTAGCTACTATATTTCGCTTCCTAAAGGTCGGTTACATTTACGGCTACATCATCACACAGCTGATAACAAATCGCAGAAATCACATTATAAAGAGGAGGAAACGTATGAGAGAATAAAAAATCATTTGATAATAAGGTTGCAATCAAATTTAGATCAGCTCGACCAACCGGCATTATTGGAAGTTGACGATGGGAGCGAATGTCCGGTGGGGTACTTCTTGAAGGATATACGTGAAAGCAGAGGCAGATTGGTGTTAGTTGTGTCTTTGTCGAAGGTTCTACCGCGACATGATGACATCGATAACGGTGATGATGATGATGATGATAATGACACTTTTGATGAGATTAAGGAGAGTATTCTCTATTTATGGGAAATGGGACGTAAAATGATGCACCATCATGCTATACAAGATGGTTCATATGACAATTACTTGGATTTCTTGACAGTTATAGACGCCTCAGGTGCAAGTATGTCGAATATTGTATGTCTATACACTCTTATCGAATAACCCTCTTATCACAACATAGCATTACGAGCTCGTTAAATTCTTTGTCGATATCATATCGGCGCATTTCCCTAACACAAGTAAACAAAGTGGGTCGTGATTTTTAATAATGACAAACTGACAATATCATCTAAAGTTATTGTTCTGAACAGTAAGGTTTGGACTAACACTCTCTGGACAGTAGCCAAGCCATTACTTCCAAAGAAGATTGTCGAGAGAATATCATTCCCCAACAAAACCAAGTTATGTGAGTTGTTTGACATCAATAAGCTGCCTTCCCGTGAGTCAAACCAAATAAACTGAAGAGTGTCAGCTAACTCAACAGATCTCGGCGGGAAGAAAGATTATGATAGTGTATCAGATTACGGAATAACGAAGATGAAATCACAACTACCTTCACATAACTCCTCTAGAACTACATTATGGTATACACCTAATGCATCCCCGCGACAGACTCCAAGTATTACACCAGCTAGTTCGCAGACGAACATTCCAGCGATTGTTAACAAGATACCAAATTTTCCATTGAAGATACGAAAGGGAACTAAAAATAATGATACCAGAAAGTCGGTGAGAGTTTATGACATACTTGGCTACAAAGAACGAATAGCTACATGGCATAAGGATAGACTGGCTGATAATATTGTCGATCGTGACGCAGACAATGGATTGAAGACTCCCATTTCAGCGTCTAGTGGTGTTGGTACGCCTGTAACAGTACTCGATAGATACAGCTACCTAAATCCGAGATATGGAGTAAGTATAAGACACTTTAAATGCCCAATTAACGGACCGTAAAGTATAAAACTATATACAAGATTAGCAAGAGTAATGGAAAGCTGACGATAGAATCGAAGCCAGTAATGATGGACTTGATAGTAACTTTGCTGCATTTAACACTAAGGAGATACTCGAAGTGGATCAAAGTGGCTAGTTTATTATTCATCATACTCATACGACAAAAAGTAAGCTAGAAGAGAAGAGAATAAATAATAAATAAGATTAAATGATGTTAAAAGTTAAAAAGGATATATATTTAATTTATTTATTATAAAGATATCAAATTTTGAATTCTTGCCTCGAGATGAGAGTTTTTGATGGAATACGCTTTCTTAGTGACAATCTCGGTAAGTTGAATAGAGAAAGTTGAATTTGAGTATTAAATTAAATAGGTGGTCTTAAAGGAAGATGCTCATTAGCAAAGTGGGTTTATTTCAGGCTTATATGGTCCATATTGCACATTTGAAGTTTCTAAAAGTGTATAGCAAATCAGTTATATCTAACTATAATGTGGAAATATGGGCTATATAACTATTTATTATACTCCATTTACTAACACCAACCTCAGCAAAACCGTAGAGCAATTCTCGAAAACCTTTTCAAGGAAGGTGTTGTCGTCGCTCAAAAGGACTTCGAGATCAAGCACGATGAGATCAACGTACCAAACCTTGAAGTCATCAAGTTAATGCAATCATTGACTTCAAAGGGTTACGTTAAGACTCAATTCTCATGGCAATGGTACTACTACACTCTCACCCCAGAAGGTTTAGACTACCTTAGAGAGTACCTCCACCTTCCATCTGAGATTGTTCCAAACACTCACCGTAAAGCCCAAAGACCATCAAGACCTGCACAAGTCAGACAACAAGGTGAAGGCTTCAGATCAGGTAGAGATGACCGTGACTCTTACCGTCGCGCTGATGCTAAGGAAGGTGCTGACGCTGGTTACCGTCCACGTTTCGTGAGTGAAAATTTATCGCCCCAAAAATTTTATTCTAACCAAGCTACTCTAGGGCGGCGTTGGTCGTGGTGCTCCACGTGCTTAAATTTAAGTACAATTGTTGTCGATTTAATCAGTTTGTAAATTTTATTTACATACTAAATGAAAAAACATATAATTGTTTACGACTGCTATGACGAGTGATAAGGAGAACAAATATCAATAAATATATACAGCAACTACAATATTTAGTTGTTTAAAGGGTTGAAAGTGAAAATAGATAATTAAATGAAGTGTTCAAGAAATATTTCAATTAGTAATTCAAAGGTAATTATTCTGCTAATACGTCTCTCTCAAGCACCACCATGCTAAGCCTTTCTTGATGCTCTCAATGGCTTGTTTTCTGGCTTATCATATGAGACTTTCTTCTCGTCATTCTTCTCTGTCACATGATTGACATGATTGACCTGCTCGTTAACTGCCTTTTGAAGTTCACTTTCTGTCTTGGTGACAGCCTCTTGTAATGAGCGAAGGACAGGAACAGCTGGAGAGCATTAATAAATCGTTTATTTATGTAAAATTTATCGCCCACCATTATCATTGATGTAATCACCAATACGCATAGCTTTCTCTTTAGCGGTGAATTCTTTGTTGGCTGCAATACCACTCAAGTCATTGTATGTTTCTTGTAACTTATTGAAGGCAGGTGTGACGTTTCTTCTTGAGTCTTCTGGTATCTTTTTTGCTCTCTCCTCTACCTTCTCCTTCTCATTACGAAGAATAGTTAATAATTCATTAGTACGCTCCTCAACGTTAGTTCTTGAATCAAGAATAGCTTGCTTAAAAGAAACAGCTTGATTTGAGACATAATCAGCGGATTTATCAATCCAGTCGTTAGATTGACGTAATCTGTTAAGCTGCTCAGTTGATACACTACTTAAGTAATCTGTAACCTCATTCTTGAGTATAATCGTACGCTTCGTAGGTGATAATTCATTCTTATTTGATTGATTCTGAGATGGGATGAATCGATGGACAAAATTCTCAATCTGCATCAAAATTGGAGTAATGATGCTGTTGTTGAGGCGTTCCCTTGAGTCGAAGATTGGCTGTTTAACGTCATTGTAGATTTCTCCCCCGTGTTTATTGAACGGGTATGGCCAGAATGATTCTGCGAGTTTCAAAAGTTGAAGACTGTAAACGTCCAACACTTGAACAGGCCTGTGGAGAGGGCCTCTTACGATTGGTGAGCTGACGCCTACTGCAACGTTATAGCCACGTTCCCATACACTGTTAGCCAGTGGATATTTGTGAAGCAAATCGTTGCTAAAGTCGAGCGTGTCCTTTACTAAAGAAATAGAGAATAAACGGTCAATTGACTCGAAGTGCTCTCTTTGCCCTGGATTTTCGACCATCGTGGTTTTAGTCTGAGTTGTTTGTTTATTTCCCCATACGGAACTAGTGGGAGGACGAGATATGAATAAATGTGAAAATGAAGATAAGAATATTCAAATATTTCTATAGTACTACCTTCAACCTTCTTTAACTTATATATACAAATGTATATTAGTTTCCCACATTCACTAAACAAAAATCTAGACCGATCTTATAGACTTAATAAACAACGTGCATGCATATATAATTAAATATAATCTAAACAGATTTGTTTTTACGACGATCTTGTACACCCTTGCGGAGATTATCTAATACCGTTACTGTTGTCTCCCAATCGATGCAAGCATCTGTGATAGACTTTCCGTATTCTAATCCTGTAGGACCCTCAGCTGGAACATTTTGACGGCCGTCCTTAATGTTTGATTCCATCATAACACCGACAATTCTCTGAGCATGCTCGTCTCCGCTGCTAATTTGATCAACAATATCTTGTGCGACGATGGCTTGTCTAGCGTGTTGCTTTGAGCTGTTTCCATGTGAACAGTCAATCATAATCTTTGGTGTGAGTCCAGCCTTAGCGAGTTGTGCTGCTGCCAATTCGACATGTGGTCGCTCATAATTTGGTGTTTTACCTCCTCGAAGAATGACGTGACCGTAAGGGTTACCGTTAGATTCAACAATAGCAGCCAAACCTTGCTTAGTAACAGATAAGAAAGTGTGTGGAGATTGGGATGATCTGATAGCATCAATGGAAACTTGAACATTACCATCTGTACCATTCTTGAAGCCGATTGGCATGGATAAACCAGATGCAAGTTCTCTATGTACTTGTGATTCTGTTGTTCTGGCACCGATAGCACCCCATGAACTAACATCTGCTGTGAATTGTGGTGTAATGGTATCAAGGAATTCACACGCAGTTGGCATACCCAAACCGACAACATCTAAGAGTAATTTTCTACCAATTCTCAAACCTTTGTTTATCTCGTTTGTGTCATTCAAGAATGGATCGTTTATGAGACCCTTCCAGCCAACTGTAGTGCGTGGCTTCTCGAAGTATGTTCTAGCGATGATACAGAGATCCTCTTTAGCATTATCTGCGTATCCTTTGAGAAGTTTGACGTATTCTAATGCTGCTTCTGGATCGTGCATTGAGCATGGACCAACAATGACGAGTAGCCTATCATCTTTACCCTGTTTGAAATCAATATTTAGTTATTTATTGTATACTTTGTATTGACCCACAGAAACTATATTTTCAGCTTCTTTTCTGCCTTTGTCTACAATTTTTGCCAATTCATCCGTCAATGGAAGATCTTCATAGAGAATTTGCGGAGGAATCAGGGGTCTGATGCGCTTTATGCCTGTATTAAATGTAAGTTGACTGTGCTTGAGACGCTTATGGGGCCTCCCACGCTGGTCATCCAATGCATTTAATGTCGTATGCGTCATGGCGTTTGTGAAGAAGGCACTCCTACAGTGTGGGTTCAAATATCTCAAGTATGACTCAGATTATATGACTCATTTATCTGGTTTATTCTCTAGTACATTTATTCTTATTTAATATAATCGCCTCTTTATCTACTTACGACCTTACACTCATTCGATAATCGACGTAGTCTTGTCTTCTCATTATGACAAAAGTAAATTTGTCTTCTATCGCACAATGGAGTGTATCCTCATATAAAGAAGGAAATGTATTGGATTGCCTTATGGATACAAACCCAGATACTGTCTGGCAAAGTGATGGTCCTCAGCCGCATCTGATCACCCTTCAATTCACGCGTAGAGTGTCAATAAATGTGAGCTTCACGTGATTTATTACAATATTCGTCATTTGCTTATCTTTGACACATTAGCAAGTAAGCATGTACCTTGATCACACGCTAGACGATAGTTACACTCCAAAAACTATCTCTATTAGGGCTGGTACATATCTTGGTGACTTACAGGAAATCAGACACATTGATCTTAATCAACCACGGGGATGGCATCATTTCGCGCTCGATAACGAAACAAAGGATGTAGTAACTTTAGATAAAAGCTTAGAGGATTCCCATGGTGTATCTGATGACGCGTGTGTTGTACCTTGTTCTAGAGTCCGTAACTAAACCGTTCCCACATAGTAAACCGATTACTGGCTTTGTTCTACAATTGGCTATCTTAACTAATCACTTAAATGGAAAAGATAGTCATATCCGTGGTATAGCAGTTTTTGCGCCAAGAGAGTAAGTTTCAATCACTGATTTTAGTGGATCCCTTAAGTCCGCGTAACTTGATTGAGGTACTAACGATACGATACTCACAGTAAAGCCACAAATAAGCAAGATAGTTTGCCGTTCACATCGCCTACATTTCAAATGCACAGTAGAATACGTTAATGACATCTGTCATTTTTAGACTGCAGCTTTTTTTTTGTCAACAATTTGTAATCACGTAAATCGCAATAATGTTAAAATATGCATATATATTTAATATATTGACGAGGTATGTGCGTAAATGACCTTTGAAGTACTCCGATCTTTATCGATCGGAGTCGATTTGATAAGCGAGCGAAGGTCTCAGCAAATCTTCGGCATGTTTGAAATGATGCTAGTTGTATAGTAGTAAATGCGACAGAAATAACATAATAAATGATTAATTTACATGCTCTTAAACTTTCTTGGCCGTCTGAGCTGCCCATATATTATGAGGACAGTCCGGTTCAAAGTTTTTCCCAGTATGAAAATAACTGGATCTCTTAGGACCCTTGCTTGCAGGTCACAAACCATAAAAAAAATAAAGACGACGTCCGTTATCAATAGGGCAGAAATCTACACTTTCCTATCAATCTCAAGGGTCTATCCATAGTAGTATCAACCTGAGTTCTTGTTAGGATAGAATATGGATCCTTCAACAATGGACCAATTGGAAAACCTTCCGAAGGATATCGCGGATGATAAAATCGCTTCGATGTTGCCGCCATTACCACCGCTTAGCCAACTCATCGCGTTTTATACACTTCACTTGCTTGCCATCCCACTCTTGTTTATACTAGCAATGACAATCATTTTCAGTAAGCGTTTACATAGGCATCCAGTTAGTTGGATATTCTTCTTATCAATGATGATGTCTTCCTTCTTTTATTCTTTCTTGATATGGGCTGGTCAACCACGCAACCCACACCCAAGCGATGGCGTACGTATAGCGAGCGCAGTGTTCGCTATTATTGCACCAACTGTTCAGGGTGGTACTGTCTTAGCTTTGGTTATGAAAGTGAGTTCAGGCCCTTCTCCCAATGACGTAGAAAATTAATATATAACAGGTCTGGACAGTTTTGGTTGACTTAGTTGAACCACGCTTTGTCAAGCCAGTTGCAAAATGCCTGGCATGGGATCCTTTCTTACTTTCCTTCCCATGGTTGATTGTCTTCCCAATTTTGATTTACGCTGCAGTTACCGCATCAACGGATGTAATCTGGACACAGAGACTATATTTCTATTGCACAATTTTACCTCAACATGATGATATTCACGTTACTGCAATGATGATATCAATGATTGAATTGGCACTCACCATCGTTTTCAGTATCTGGTCAGCAGTACTTTATTTCTCAGTTAGCAGAAGCATTAGGTCGAGAAAGGGTAGTGATATCAATGCTGATTTGATTTTCAGAGTTATGACGTTCACTTGTTGGATTATTATGACATTAGTTGTCTCAGCTGTTGAATATCGCACAAGAACGATTCATAAACCGTTAGCAATCTTAATTACTACCAATCCAATAGCATGTTTCCTTATCTTTGCTTCCCAAAGAGACATGCTTAAGGTCTGGGGATTGAGTCGCTTCGCCAGGTACTTCAATTGCACTCAATCAACAGATTTCTCAGGATCTTCTGATAGACGCAGCTCAACTAGAAACACTCACGATAGACGTGAGCTGGACAACATTGAAGGAAGGAAGGAGTTCAGTAAGCTATCAAGTGTAGATGATATTGAGAATACTAACAACTATGATTTTGGCGACTACGAATTTCAAGATACTATGAAAAAAGATGATAGCTATGAAGGTGAGGACATCCAAGTTTTACACCAGAGGCATGATCAACACGATCACTTGAGTCCGACTAGCCCAACACAAAACTTCCATCACGCAATTGGATCTAGACCAGCATCAGCAGGAGACCAATATGCCGCTGCGTCACCTTCACCTAGTCAATACACGAATAATTCCCCGTTCAGTAATTATTTCCCAAGTCCATCATCAACCCCAGTTTCGGGCGCAACAACTAATAGACACGCTAAGAAGGATAGCGGTAGTATTCCTACACGCAAGCCAGTACCTTCTTTCGCGAGTTACGAGCTCCCACCGGTCCCTACACCAACTTCCCCAGTTAGCCCAGTTTCTAGTCCTGGATTGAATAGAAATGGTTCACATCATCTCAACCGCAATAATTAGTGGTCAATTTCGAGTACGATTATTTTAATAAATTATTCTAATTAATATGTAAAGCTACTTCTACTGCGAAATGCATGTTGTTTTGTTTGTTTTGATTTTAAGAATTTAGAAAAAAAAGAAACGCGTTATAGTCAAGAGGAAGGAATGATATATGATAATTCAGATTGTATAGCCTCCTAGCTTGTATATCTCTACCTTAGTTCACCACCATCACCAACGATGTCAGTAAACTGGCAGAATAAACTACGGCAGGCGGAGATAGACTCTCACCAGAGCTGGCTGGATGATTTAGAGGAGCTTTTCGTTAATGCACACCAGCGTTTCTCTGATATAAGCTGGTCCACTCAGAATGAAGATGAAGAGATAGTCCACGCACATAAAGGTGGGAAATAAATCACTTACTGTAGCATACTAATATGCTCTACAGCTATCTTATACGCTCGCGCTCCCTCACAGTTCCTCAGCGCCTACCTTCCAAAACAACCAAACACCTTAGATACCCAAGACAACTCGAGTAGTTTAAACGTAGCCGTAGCCTCAACTCTGCAGAGATCACCTTCTCCAACTCCAAATAGTCTTATTTTACCAAAGTCAACATCACCAGCTATTCTTTCCTCTGCATTGAAATTTCTCTATACAGCGAATGACGGCGAGAGTTTTGATTTCCTGTTCGATCAACCGCTTGTTGATAGACAAAATCAGGATGAAAGGCAAGCAAAAATGCGTTCAGATTTGGTCTACATGTGGAGATCAACGTTGTTCTCTGATGTAAAGATTACCTTAGTCGATGATACAGGCGAGGCTCTCAAGAAGCACGATAGTGACGATGATGATGTCGATGATGGGGAGGCTATCTTTTCAGCACACAGAGCATTGCTAGCGTCCCGTTCAACGTATTTTGCTAATATACTCTCACCTACGACTGGATTCATTGAATCTTTACAGAATGCAGATAGTGGTCCGCGCAGTGTCACCCTCCATCAACCACCTTTTACACCTGCTTCTCTTCATTTCGCTCTTGGGTATATCTATTCTGGTACAGTGGCATTCTCAAACCGCACATTGGACTTAAGTACTGCGTTTGAAGTGTACGAGGCAGCAGAATATCTTGATTTAACACCTCTTAAAGCTCAAATCGTTGGGAAGATATCAGAGATGGTAAACTACTTTGATTTTCCATTTACAGCTAATCGCCAACTGTTGATTAAGCGTATACCACGGATATTGGAATTCACATTAAGACCGACAATAAATGAGCCTGAATTGGAGGCATCGGTTTTCGAATTGTGTGTTAAGGGTTTTGGAGATATTTGGGGTAAAGACATAGCAGAGTTGCCATACCCAACACGTAAACAGCTCGTATCATCTGTAAACCTCGGTATTAGTTCACACACACTCATACCAGCATTAAAGGCGGTTATAGCTATACAAAACAGACTCAAAAATGAAATGCGCTTCGCTAAATGGGTGAATGAATTAACTAATATGGTGAATGCAGTTGATAAACACATAAGAAGGTGTCTTGATGCTAACCTCGGCGAGGTACTCGATAGTGATAAATTCTGGGATCTTGTCGACGGAGTTGGATTCTCAAATGATGCTTTTGAGAAACTCTTAGAAATGATAATTGAGAGTCTCAATGACGAAAATTGCATTTTCAGTTATCAGTCCTTCACCAGTAAAATACTTCGCAATGAGAATGAAAATAGGGTTCTAACACCATCTATGCGCGAATGGTGTGACGAAATAAGGAAGAAGATAGTAAAGAGCGTTAGAAGTCGCTGGATGAATGTAAAAAGCCTTGGTTTGTTCGAAAAACTCGAGAAGTGGTGTTTACAGGAACTTAGCGAAGGTAAGAAAATGTTTATTTTATGGTGAACTGTGTTAACAGTAAGCTCTAGAATTGGGTGTTGGTGTCGATGAACTACTCCCACCAAAGCAAACTACTCGTCGTTTTGTGAAGAAGTCGACAAGTAGCGTTAGAAAAGAAGATGATGGGACTGATTTGCGTACTAACGTGCTAAGGAATACGGGTAGGCGTGCCACCAGCACGATGAACGCTAGACCACCCAGAGCACAAACACAATCGACGAGCGTAGCTACCACATCTCATCAAACACCTCCAAAAGCAGTCATACCACCCCGTCGAGCGGGCAGCTTGAATACGACGATGTCAGCAGCTAGTACAACTCCAACAACTGTTCGGAGTGGGCGTTCACCTGCACAAAGCGGTAGTCCAAATAGTAGATATCCAGGAGGTAGACGACCAATCGCGCAATCATCGAGCGCATCTATCAGTCCATCCATGCGATCCGCAGCTAGTGCAGCAAGTCGGGCGTCATCTACGACTACATATTCTAAGAATAACGCTGAAACACAGAATAGCCCTTCAGTTGTTAGGTCCAAACCTAAAACAGGGTCACAGATACCAAAACCGTCTTCAACACCGAGGACAACAACGCCGTCGATTAGCAGTAATAGAAGTGCAAATATCAATCGACGTATGAGTACGCCTTCGCCTTCACCAAGTCTGATACCAACACATACCATGCGCATGCGCAGAATCTCTACGCCTAGCAAGACAACTAGAGGCGATGGTGACATGATGAAGCAACAACTTAGTGATAAAGAGAAGGGGAAGGACAATGTAAAGAAAAAAGCTGAAGGGAGTGTCAAAGAAAGTCAAGAAAAGGACATCTCTGGTAACACTAAAAATGAACCCGAAGATTCAAGTGTAATTGGCCTGCGAAAAGAAAAACTTCCAAGTCATATACAGAAGACAAATCAGGGTGGTCCACGCTTGCGTCCACGCCCTCATTCGCAATCCGGTAATAGTGTACGCTCATTGGCGGCGAAGTTTGAAAGCAATAGTGGGGACAGCAAGCTTGGTCCTCGTCCTTCGAGTGTGACACCAATTGTTGAGCAGGATACAAAGAAAGACATGGTAGAGGATTCAAAGGAAAGTAATAAGGAGGACGCAAAAGAAGGTGGCAAAGAAGTCGCCCCAGAGGTCACACAAAGCGAGAAGTCTGATAAGGAAAATACCAACTTAAGTTCTCTTGAAACACCTCAGAAGAAACCAAAATCAACTGTTGGTCGTCTACGTTCTGGTACCTTACGACAACATGAAAATCCATTGGAAGACGCCAACGCGACGCCCCGTGCAGTATTGCAAAGCGAGAGTGGTAACAAATCGCCAACCAACTCAGAACACAGATTGAGTAACTTGAGTCTCGTCGGTGGATTAGGCGAGGGTGAATCTGACCCAGAATCAGTTGCACCATCGCGTATACCCTCCTTATCACTAACTGAACGCTCTTTAACTACGCAAAAAAGTATGATGTCTCTCGTTGAGCATGATCCTGACCAAGGGAAAGAGCAGCAATGCACAACTCAGGAGACTGCACCAAAGATGGTCATAAAAGAGCAAAAAACGGTAGAACCTCATGGTGTTGCTCTCACAGTTGGTATACCATGCATTGTGGCTTGTAAACCTAAACGTAGAAAATCAGGCGCGTCTATACGTTTTAGAGCTTTAGTGAGATACTTAGGTACAATTGCGAACGAATTTGGTCCTTGGGTTGGCGTTGAAATTCCTTCAGAGGAAATTACAGAGGAGAAATTCAACTCTGTATCTGGATGGAATGATGGAATGTTACATGAAAAGAGATATTTTAGCGTAGGTCTCGAACTCTTGAAGATATTACATTTCTGACATAGCCACTAGTTGCAAGGGGAGAAATGGAATGCAATGGAGCCACGTCGAAGCCTAACAATACCAAGTGAGGTGGGAGGCAAAAGCAGGGTGCCTAAAAGGAGCATAAGTAGTAGTACTAGAGCTGTATCGGGTATGTCCAGTCTCTCTGAGACAAGCCCAATAGAAGAAGACAAGAAGACACAACCACATAAAGCGCTATTCGTTAGACCGGCTAATGTCGTCTGGGTTGTGAACACCTAAGCGGATAGAGTAGATTACTCACATTTTAATAACTGGAATATAATAACACTCTTTACGATTCTCTTTTAAGTTATCACACTCATTGTAATCTTATTAAGTCATTTTAGATTAATATCCATCTACAAAAACAAAATGCTGCAACTCTACATGAACTCCAAATCATCATCATCACCGTCATCTAATGCCTCATCATAGATGTTAGTATCGAGTCTGGTACCAGACGTAGTGTGACCACCACCGAGACTTGGCTTAGTTTTCTTGTTCTTTGCAGCGGCTGCTTTGTTGGCACGTGCCTTTTCAGCTGCGATAGTATTCAATCTAGTTGCTAAGCCTTTAATTTCGTTTTCTTTGAGACTATCAGCGAGATTCTTAACGATCGTGGTTACGTATTGCTGATATTGTGGGTTACTAGCATGTGGTTTAAAGTATACCTCTTGTACTGCACCAGCGAGTTGTTGGAATTCTGCCAACTTGGTTGGCTTCTTCTTGAGTGTTTGGGAAGTTGAAGGTGCGACGTTCATACCAGCGAACAAATCGGCTGCATTGGCTAAGTCACTAGCGATTTCCTTCTCCTTGGCTGCTTGTCTCTCAGCTCTCTGCTTCTCGAGCCAGTCGATAGCGTCACCATCATCGATTTCACCTTCCTTATCCATTCTCTCTTTACGCTCTTTCTCCTTCTGCTCTAACTTTTGCTTAAGTGTGCCTTTCTTTTTTGGTGGTGCAGCAGCTGGTGCTTTCTTCGCTGGTGTCGGCGCTGGCTTCTTCTTCTCTTCATCCTCCGAAGGCGCATCCCAAGAATCCTATGTTAAAGAATTGAATAATTGGATAATTACTAAAGAACAAACGCACCTCTACTTTATCATCCTCATCCTCGTCATCCCATTTGCCTTTACGAGCTGGTGCAGGTGCAGAAACTGGTGCGACCTTTTGTGGTTGTTCATCGGAAGAGGATGCGTCTATATAAATTTAGTAAGGATAATTTATATACTGTCCATCTGACTCACCCCAATCGTCCATTTTTATTATTCAAAGTTCGTAGTTTGAAGTCAAGCTGCTGCTCGTTTGACAGATACTACTATCTGAACATATAATAAAATTTAATATGAGTTTAATGCCACCACCGAGTACTACAAAATCTACACCAAAACCCGCTCACAAAGTTGCTTTACAACCTGGTTACGGTCCTTTGGATTGGGCAAAGTTGAAATCATCTCAAGAGGATCTTAGACAAGTTGAATGGCAGCACCCAGTACCTATTTCACCAAAGATGATGTCCCTACATCGTGGTAAAGCTAATAGCGTCGATGATGAAATTTGGTGCAGCTTCAATGGCAAAGTCTATAACGTTACCCGTTATTTGCCTTTTCATCCAGGTGGCGAGAAGGAAGTACTTAGAGTAGCAGGTAGAGACGGTACGGATTTATTCAGTGAGTGGCCTTTAAACAAAGGAAAATTCATCTAAGACACATGACCCAGTGAAAACGCACGCTTGGGTTAACTTGGATTACATGCTTGATGAATGCTTAATTGGATTTCTAGTGCCAAATGGCAGGGGTGTACAAGATGCATTAATAGACGATGATTAGACTGATAGGTAGGCTATGAGTAGTGATTTTTCTCTTTGATAATAGACGCTATATCTTGTTGTAATTTTTAAGTATAAATTCAAATCCTAAGACGTCTCGTTAGTCAATCCCTTTAGTTCTCTTTCTACACTCACCTTCACGCCCTCGTCCTGCATTCTCGCTGAATCGTCGTACACTATGCTCTTCTAACTTTTTCTCTGCCATACGCCATCCCAGCGCACCCGCTGAGGTAATATTGGCTGTTTGTGAGAAGAGCGTCGATAGTGTTGGGTTCGCCGGGTGAGGAGTGTACGTGATAGTTTCATGACAAGTGAGGTAATCACTTAATGATAAGTTAACTGATCGTGCTGTCGTCCGCTGTAATTGCGGTGAAACTGTTAATCTTTCGAGTACGAATGCGGTTGAACTGCAATTAAATAACTGATTTACCTGTAAGAAAATACACTCAATGGGAATATAACCAACCTTTATCGCCCATAAGGGTGCTGATTGTTCTACACCTATCAGTCTATCCGTGATAACGTCGCCAGTTTTTCTATCAATGGTCCGACTAAGAACGTCTACGCTTTTAACGTGCGAGGAATTTGGGTTTGGGTATTTTCTCCATAAAGAAGAAGTGACCTTTTTATTATCAAATCAGCTAGATTCTTAGAAAGTTTATCAGGACTAACGTGTTGCCATGGGTAGTTGAAACCTGACAAATTATTAGACGCTTTACTTGATATATTTATCTTTTACTTACTATAATGTGAATTAAAGGACGACACCATCCATCAAATTTTTGTTATCAAGCTTGATGAAAGTTCGAGTAAAATGATGAAATAGATTGATCATTCACCTTAAAAGTACTTTCTAGATGTTATTTACAGAGGAGATCCACCACATTGTATAATACAATAAATCACAGGTAAATTGCTTTAATAATATACACTAGAACCTCTCATAGGTAGAGACAACTGCGAGCATTTCATATCCAAATGACTAAAAAAAGTAATCTACAGTAGATTCTTGTAAAGTTTTATTCCTGCAACAAAAAGGTTGATGTACAGAAAAATACCGCAAAAGTTACTCTCCGAGGTGGGCTCGAACCACCAACCTCTCGATTAACAGTCGAACGCGCTAGCCAATTGCGCCATCGGAGATCTGATATTAAGGAAAAATTAACTCACTATAACTCATTTTTTTAAGAAATCCATTCTAATATGTACTTATTATTTTTCTCACGATTTTAAAATTCGTTTCTTTTTTTTGGGGCTTTCCTTAGGTAAAATGAGGCCATTTCCACAAAAATATTTGAACTTGTTTTTAGGGAGCGAATTAACAGAGAATAAAGCTGCAGAAATATCTATGTACCTCGAACAATATGAAAACATACTTTAAAAAGAATTTTAGTAAACCGACAATATGCACTTAAATGTAATAACAATACCACTGTTCACCACCGGCAATCGAACACCTAGGGTATTATATCAGAAAGCCAAGTGTCTTGCGAAAGGGCTTCAACAAAACTATTTTACACCGGAATGTGTATGGTTATAAACCTAGTAACATCTGTCAATATAAAGGAAGTTCTTCCGGCTATATATCTCATAGTTGGTACATGTAAAGTCATTGAGGCACCCTTCACCGTCACCACAATGCATATCGTAAAAAGCAATACATCCTTGAGTACCATCCTCAATACTGCTTGCAATCTAAACCAAGTCGGCGACATTGCGGAGCAATTTAACTTGTGAGTGGATACAATAAGGATTGCTCTCGGAAATGATCTTTTAGTTCAATGTTATCTTCGTACTCGAGATATTCTTCAAGTGATGCTCAGAAAACTCATATAATCGATACTCTAAGGGTGGTAAGTGGAAGGACTCCCAACTTTTATGTTGCTAAAATCATAACCTTTATCGTTAAGAAAACCAAACTAGAAGACACTCCGTCGGTAATTAAGGTAATACGTATTTGAGCGTCGAGTAGGTCTCGACGGCCAACTAATCAAACTAATTATAAGAAATTGTATGCAGTACATCTAAAACAACCATCTATAGAAAAATTCCCCTTTAAACGAGACCTTCACCTTCAAGCAACAAAACGATGCTGTGGACGATTTCTGAAATTGGTTGTTGCGCGACATCTACGGTGAGATCAGCATCCTTTGGTTCTTCATAGTCATCTGATACACCAGTGAAGTTCTTGATTTCACCCTTACGTGCCTTTGCGTATACACCTCTTCTGTCAGTCTTTTCACAAATATCAAGTGGGGTAGCGACATGGATCAAGAAGAAGTTACCTGCACCACCAGTTGTCTCAACTGTCTTACGTGCTTGCTTACGTGACTCTTCAATTGGTGCGATTGGTGATGCAATGACTGCAGCACCTGCTCTGCTTAATTCTGCAGATACGAAGGCAATTCTTTGCAAGTTCTTGTGTCTGTCCTCACGTGAGAATCCTAATTCTGTTGATAATTCTTGTCTGACAGTTTCACCGAGTAACAAACTGACAGAGCGACCACCTTGCTCGTTAAGCTTGACTTGTAAGGCCTTAGCAATTTGATCTTTTCCAGAGTTCCATAAACCAGTCAACATAATAGTGAAACCTTGTTGAAGTCTTGGTGGGTAAGATTCACGAAGAGTCTTGACAACTGAGTCGTATGAGAACCAATCAGGAATGTGAGCACCAGTCTTGAGACGACGGCGAAGTTCAGTACCTGAGATGTTGGCGGTTGGGGTGCCTTGTGGAACTTCATCGACTGGTTGGTATTCGTCGGTTTCAGGGAGGTAGGTCATCATTTGGAAAGGAACCATTTCAATTTTGAGTTCGTCCTTGAATGATGTGACAAGCTCTTGGGCATCATATGGACCGTAGAAGTCCTTGCCGTGGCTGTTCTTACCTGGACCAGCGTGATCTCTACCGACAATGAAGTGAGTAGTACCGAAGTTCTTACGGATGATAGCGTGCCAAACGGCTTCACGTGGACCAGCCATACGCATAGCTAAAGGCAAGAGAGCTAATTGGGCCATTCCGTTTGGATATTTTGGCATAATTGATTGGTAAACTCTAACTCTTGTGAAGTGGTCAACGTCACCTGGCTTGGTAAGACCAACTACAGGGTGAATCAAGACGTTAGCTTGACGCTGGCGAGCAGCACGGACAGTGAGTTCTCTGTGAGCTCTGTGCATTGGGTTACGTGTTTGGAAGGCGACAACCTTTCTCCATGCGAGCTTCTTGAAGTGAGAACGTAACTCAGCTGGAGTGAAACGTTGAGCGACGTAATCGTAGTGAAGTGGTGGGTTGACAGCTTGAACCTTACCACCAACGTAGCTATCCTTGACGTTGTTGTGAAGGTAGGCGATAGCAGGGTGTGCGAGGTCGTTTTCACCTGCACCAAAGACCTTTGCGGCCTCGTTTTCCTTGTTTGGTTGCCAGATGTCCTCAATAGTAATAATAGCGAGTGGGTTCTCGTCTCTTGGATCACGGAGAGTGACTCTAGAAGATTCTGAAAGGCCTAATTCCTTGATTTTTTCACTGGAAAGGTCTAAGGTGACTGGGATAGTGAAAACAAGACCATCTGTTAATCTCATGTTTTCAACAACACCCTCGTAGTCCTTCTTGTTCATGAAACCTTCCAATGGGGAGAAACCACCGTTCATAATGAGTTCTAAATCGCATAATTGACGTTCAGTAAGTGATACAGAAGGGAGAGTTTCGGATTCTGCGACGAGTGCGTCGTGCTTGTCTGCGTCTCTGACGTGAAGATCCTGACACAATATTAGCGGAGAAATACGGAATATCCTATAAACACTAACCTTAAGGACGTTTCCGTGGCAAGGGTTTGACATTTTATTAAACCTTCGTTGTTACAGGAAAAGATGTCAAGAGTGTTTGATAATCTCAACGTCTTGGGAAACGAAGGCGTGATTAGTTTGAAAAGGTACAATTTTTGGAGTATTAAATAAAGTTGTTCAAGTGTTTGCTAGGCATTTATGAGTCATTATATTAATCTTTCTTATTGCTTTATACCTTTTTACTAATCTCAAGTCTCATTCGTCAAATTTTGCACTGCGGTATAAAGTTCTCGAGGAATACATCAAATGATATGCTTATTTAGTGTATATGACAGTATATGATAGTATTATACAATATTATACCTTGGATAATCTTCCTACTGCCACTGTCGCTCATATAGCTGATCCGTTGGTTCTAACAAGATATACATAAGCGCAACACTTGTACGCTTCTTAGTAGCTAAAACCCAGAACATTATATTATCATAGTCATTTGTATTTCTTTCTTCATTACCCCCATGATCCAAAACCTGGGATTCATCACTTTACTATCGGCCATAGTCCTACTGGGCACCCTATATAGTGTATACTACGATACATTCCAAGACACAAGCTCCGCGATCTCTTTTGCAAAGTCCGCTACTTATTTCGCTACTAAAAAGAACATCTTCAATAAACTATTCGTGAAGAAAGCTTGGGGGTGGACTACTGCGTCGGTATTAGCACTACTTGTTAGTGCTCCACACGACGAACGTACTACAAATAAACGCTGGCGTATCGTTACTGTATCACGTTGGGTTGCAGCAACTTCCTCGTGGTTTTTATTGTGAGTTAGATACAGTAGAATGTATTTAAAAATGCTTATACTATACAGCACCAACTGGTTCTTCGGTGACAGCTTATTACACCGCATATGGCTTATAACTGGTGCACAATGCGTGAGAGAGGAAGACAATCTCGAAGGGACGCCAGCAACGCCGCTACTCGTACCAGTCAATCACCTGGAATGCTATCCACAGCCACTAAATTCTGCTGATACCAGTGCGCCATTGAAGGCCGCAAAATGGGTCGGTGGACATGACGTATCCGGCCATACTTTCCTCCTTATGCTATCTGCATACGTCATTTTCGTCACTCTTAAACCATGTTACTCTCATCTCATAAGAGTGAACTCAGTAAAGGATGAGAAAGCCCCATTGCAAAGTGGCTTAAGCATACTTCACAAGGTCGCGGTGTACTTCTCCATTGCACTTCTCTTACTCTGGATCTGGATGCTTCTTGTCACCTGCGTTTATTTCCATACCCCTTATGAAAAGTTTACCGGTTTATGTGAGTGGTCGCTATTTACCTTTCATGTCTTCTAACACGATTTCAGTGACGGGATATATGTCAATCTTTACCGTTTCGCTTATTAATTAGATTATGTTCATAGAATCTACGATGCATTACGATACGTTATGAAGTTATATACGGAATTATTACAACGCTCAGAGATCATTATATATGAAAGCTCGATTCTTGCGAAAGAGGAAAAAAGAAACCCGTCAACAAAAAGTCTCAAACCAATTCTTACTACTAGCAACTTGTCCCAAATACTCTAACATTGTAAAAACCCTACTTAGTCGCTGGTCCAATCTAACCTTTGATTCCTCGCCTTTTCAAAGATAACTTTGTAACCGTCTCTAAGTCCTGACTGATCATAACAAAATTATGACATCAAATCGTTTTGGTCGAACCTTTTACCGTGTTTATACAACCTTGTAAAGGTGTTTATATATTGACTTGATCAAATAGTCTATCTCACATTTACTACTACTTTCTATACACTAATATACACTAACTACTTATTATTTAATCATTCTCGTCATCGGAATCATATGCCGAGATATTTCAGTACTTTTCATGGTCTGACCACTATGAGATCATTAGTATATACGAAGACCGATGGTGTGAACTGACTACTATGAGATTACTGGACTGTTAGGAGACCCGACTTTTAGGGGTCCGACCGGTATGATATCATCAGTATATAACGGAGACCGATATCAGATTATCGTTCGCACATTGCGATCATCAACATATACACATTATGCCAGAAGTACTCAATAAAGAAGTTAGAAGTATTGGTCATGGATTAATGGGTGTGTTCTGTCCATTAGATTTTCGTCCACATATTAAAGTCTTGATTTAGGAATGACCTGGACTGATACACCTGCACCATTAGATACTGTATGTAATTTAAGAATTTAGTATCCACCTTATTGGTGTACAGGCTTTGGAAGTGATGAAGAGGAGTATTGAGGTTGCAAAAGGTGGAAATATTACTTGGAATGGAGGTGCGTTTTGATAACTCTCACTTCGTCCAGCTCTCATAATGTTCAGGAGAGATTTATGGAACACCAGAGTAAACTATACCATGTCTCGCTGATACTTACTAACATCAAGCCACAGACACAACTCTTTACATCTGTTAAAGCAATATTTCACCAAATACCCTGAAGATGTTGATAAAGTCATTCTTTGTATCAAGGGTGGTATGAACGCACAAACGCATATGCCCGATTGTACATATGAGGGCTTATCCAAATCTGTTGACAACTGCAATGCCATTCTTGGTGGAGTCAAGAAAATTGACCAGTTCGAACCAGCAAGGCGTGATACTAATCTTTCACCAACTGAAATTGTCAAAAATCTCGCCAGACTCGAGAAGGAAGGCAAAATCGGCGCATTTAGTTTGTCAGAAGTAGGTGAAAAGACTATTCGAGAGGCTGCAGAAGCAGCCGAGGGATTAGGGACAAAGCTATCATCAGTAGAGGTAGAATTTAGTATGGCAACTACCGATATACTTCATAATGGTGTAGCAAAAGTATGTGCTGATCACAAGATTCCAATCTATGCATATAGGTGTGTATTATAGAACAAATCGAACCAATAATACTAATTAAATACGTAGTCCAATAGGCAGGGGCATGCTTAGCGGTAAGATTAAGAGTAAAGATGATGCGAAGGGAATGGCAAAATTTTCACCGCGCCTCCAAGATGACAATCTGGCTCAAAATTTGAAGCTGGTTGCAGAAGTTGACAACCTAGCAACCAAAAAAGGCTGTACACCAGCTCAAATCGCCATTGCATGGGTAAAGCATCATTCTAACTGGAATGGGAAATTACCTACAATCATCCCAATACCTGGCGCCAGTTCAATAAGTCGTGTAGAGGAAAACCTCGACGATAGCATAACACTTTCTGGTGAAGACATGAACTTTTTGCAAGATGCGATCAATAAGTTAGACATTAAGGGTGGAAGGTATCCCGAACATGTCTCTCATCTAAACTGGGGTTAAATCATATATTATGTATTTTGAAGCAGAATGCATGTGTCTTGCTTTGTTTTAAAAGAGCTATATCCTATAACGCTAAGTATAATTTGTGTAAATATTGCGTTCATCTTAGCTTTGAATTCATGTTTTAAGGTCATGATGTCGCTTAAAATTCGGAATGGTACCTTTTTACGTAAATGTCATCTTTACAATTACTCATTGCACTCATGTTAATCGTGATTATTATCTAGCGATACTGCTACGTAAGCTCATTACATCTGTCATATGCTGACTTCTAATATACGTAGTAGCTAAATCGCACTGTATGTTCATCATCGGTATCGGAATTCTGACAAAATTAATATCTAAATAATCAATTCTGACTGACTAATGATGATGACGAAATATAAATACATTGTAAAGACGTACAAATTATTACTTTATCCATCAATGCTTCTTATACTGCCAGGATATTTTCCTTTTTGATTTTGTAGGATTTAATTGGAAGCATATCTTAACTAGGGTCATAAAACGTCTTGATGATTGTATCCCTTTAAATGTTCTCCATTACACAGAACCGCCGAAGTACCTTCGGTAGACCGCTTCTACCATGATGATGATGATGATGATGATGATGAAATCTAAATATATTGTTAAGACGATACAAAGTTAAACTGCGTCCATCAATACTTCTTAAAGCATGAGGATTTGAATGGCATGTTGAATTGGTAGGAAGCGTTTCTTGACTAGTGTCGTAAAATGTCTTGATGATTTGCGTGTCCGGGAATTTTCTCGGTTACGCCGAACCACCGGAGTATCTTGGGTACGTAGTCAATTGTGGTTTGAAAAACTCGTAAAGGGCTTGAAGAGCTTGTGCGTTCCTGAGCATTGGACCTAATTCGAACCGAATGTTGATCTTGGTTATCTTTCTTCGCAAGGTGATTCTTGCCATTATGTGTCTTCTACATATAAATATTCTATGCGAGATGCTATCTTCTATGCCGCACGTCCTGCATTTCGGTGAGTCGATTAGCTTGAATCGGTATCGGT